CACTGGTATAGATGCCACGCGAACCATGTACACCATGTAAGGCTGACTGTGCATCCCTTAAGACTGACTGTACACCCATGTAAGACTGACTGTACACCACTGTGTAAGACTGAGTGTACAACCCTGTAAGACAAATTGTACATCACTGTAAGATTGACTGTACAACCCTGTAAGACTGACTGCTCACTCCTGTAAGACTGAGTGTACACCGCTGTAAGGCTGAGTGTACATCACTGTAAGACTGAGTGTACAACCCCGTAAGACTGACTGTACAACTCTGTAAGGCTGAGTGTACAACCCCTTAAGACTGACTGTACAGCCCTGTAATACTGAGTGTACAACCCCGTAATACTGAGTGTACGCCGCTGTAAGGCTGAGTGTACAACCCCTTAAGACTGACTGTACACTCTGGTAAGACAGACTGACTGTACATCCGTCACAAGGGTCTGTCCGGTTTGGAAAAACCGAGGCTCAGACCAGGCGCCAGAACGGACCCATCGGCGTGCTGCGTTTTGGACCTATCAGGAAGCAGGGTTTCAGTACCTCTCCTATAAAAAAAAGAAAAGAGCGAAGCCACGCACACCGTCACAGTCCGAGCACTGAATGAGAGATCAACCATGTCGTCTCGATGCAGCAGTCTGAAGTGTCAGACCAACAGTCAACAATGTCCGTGGATCAGGGCCACCCATCTCTCCCGAAAGAATGCTTTCATCATTGCTCTACCTACCCACCACCACCACCACAACAACAACAAAAACCTCCTCCTCTTCCCTCCTCCTCGTCCCTCCTCCTCCTCATCCTCCTCCTCCCTCCACCACCACCATAACCACCACCTCCACCACCACCATAACCACCACCTCCACCACAACTACCGACACCATAACCACCACAATAACCACCAACACCACCACCACCATAACCACCACCACCACCTGGAAGGATACGGTCAAGAATGAGGCCACGGTATTAGAATGGTTTTATACCAAAGTGCCTACCTCTGTTCCATTGGATGAGATGCCTGCTTTTCGACTGAGTGCCCAGACGCGTACCCTACATCAAAAGAACAAACCTTTCTGCCCTTATTGACCTGACACTTGTTCACTGCGTTTTATGAATGTACATACGTTCACAACCTAGTTGCAAAAGTTCCTGTTCACTGCGTTTTGTGAGTGTACATACGTTCACACCTAGTTAAATAATATTTATAAACGTCTGTTTGAAGACACGCATGACACCATGTTTGCATGGAGACACGCGTGACACCACGTTTGCATGGAGACACGAAGTACATCACGTTTGCAAACGTCACGCATGTGTATCGATCTATACTTCTAGTAACGTCTGTTTGTAGTCACGCGTGGCACATCGTTTTGCATGGAGACACGCGTGACACCACGTTTGCATGGAGACACGAAGTACATCACGTTTGCATGGAGACACGCGTGCCAACTCCTCGGCATGGATGAGCGAATGGCAACGTCATAATCATATTTATAAACGTCTGCTTGAAGACACGCGTGGCACCACGTTTACATGGAGAGACGTAGTACATCACGTTTGCATGGAGACACGTAGTAGATCTACACCATGTATGTTTGAAGACACGAAGTACATCACGTCTGTTTGAAGACACGCGTGACAGTACGCATGTAGGCATGCACGAGTGCCAACTCCTCGGTATAAATAATAATAATAATCATATTGATAAACGTCTGTTTGTAGTCACGCGTGGCACCACGTTTGCATGGAGACACGAAATACATCAAGTAGGCATTCCTACACCACGTCCATGTCTGTGCATGTCGATTCACCTTCAGAATTCAGGCGTCCGTTTCACAACATGATCGTAGCGCTAAGGTGATCGCCACTCACCTACTTTAACTTAGACGAACGACTGTCATTGCGCTACAATACGATCGCCTCGTGGAACGAGACCTTGCACCTCAAAGTTTACAATCACGTCATCATACCTGATGATGTCATTTGTGTAATTTTGTTGCAAGATCCTTCGCCGATATGACGTCAACCTAGCAACAAAGTTGCTTGGTCGTCGACAGTGTATTTTAAGCTCGTCTCAGTGATCTATCATCTCCACATGCAAACGCCGCACCAGTCAGTGTCCTGTCAGGAGACAGGTGGCAGGCAATCGGTGCCTTTGCAGCACAGCACCTATGTGGGTGAGGAGTTAGTCTCTCACGATCAAACGGCCCTTTTCAGGGCCACCCATCTCTCCCGAAAGAACGTTTTCATCCATGGCTTTGACGACCCTCAAACCAAAAAAAGAACCCACCTCCTCCGCCCTCCTCCACCACCGCCGCCGCAACCACCACCACCACCACTTCTTTAAAAAAAATGAAAAAAATGAACATCAAGGAATTTACATGCGCTTCTTTTAATTTTGATATTTTCATATTGTACGAGCGCTTCTTAGGTGCGTATCACCGGTACAGGAAGTGCCGCCATCTTGGATGCGCATACAACCGAAACCGGAAGTGACGTCATCAGAGGTCGCGTGACCAAACCGACCAAACAGAAGCCAAGAGCGGTCCTGTGCCGATTCACATGTTCATTTGCATAAGATACATACATACAGACAGACACATACACAAACACAAACACACGCGTAAATTCCATGAATCAACTGTATGCGAACCCTAAAGCCACGGTTGCCAGATATAACATCAATGTATGGAGAAGAGACCGCAAACACATGACACATGCTGAACGAGAAATAGTGTCGATGTATCTGTGCGCTCATTGGTTTTAGCTTTTTTCCCGCGCGCAGGAACAAGTCCGTGGCTTGGTTCGTTGATTAAACGTGAATAGTAAGGGGTCGTACGTTTTCAAGGGTGATGGAGGTCCGTTGTGTGTGCCACCCGTCAAGTTTTGACGATATCCGCCTAAATGCCCTGGTTAACGGAGAATTAAGAACAAGATTTCACTGAAGTTTGAAGTTTGATAGCGACAGACAAGGTAACAACAAGAACAATCTTTTAACGTCTTTTGGGATGACGCGGCCAGGGATCGAACCCGGACCTTCCGCTCTCCGGGCGGACGCTCTTCCACTAGACCACGGAGGCGGTAACAATTGGATGGAATGGCATGGGTGTGCACATCAAGACAACCTTGCTATCTCGCTTAAATCCCTAATTCTACCTCATCATAGTATGACGTCACTTCGTAGTCACCTGAGACATCAAAGCGGTGTCAATCATTTCAAGTATGGAGCGCTGTAAACATAAGCATCAGTCATACACACCATATCTGATTTGTGATGTCTTGACCTTAATAGACCGCCTCTGTGGTCTAGCGGATAGGACGTCTGCCCGGAGAGCGGAAAATCGGTGGTTCGATCCCATGGGTTCCTCAAACCAAAAGACGTTAAAAGATGATATGTGTTATTACCCTGCCTGGCGCTCGGCGCTAACGAATGAGATAAAACACTGACCTTTTGGCTTGGACTCACCAAGTGTCCCAGGTTTAACTGTCCGAAGAGTCATGTGATATCATTGTCATTTGATGGATAAAATTCATGATCCAAATGTCCCGTGTTCAAGATAGAGAAGTTTTTGTCACTTGTATTTATCCCGTGATAAATGAAGTTACATAAGTTCAGTCGAATGGCATGGCCAATATCGTCATCATTCCTCCTTGTCTACCAGAGATGCAAGTTTATTCTCGCTTCTATGTACTTTGCCATCTTCAGATCTTCATCATCCACAGAGCAACCACAACTTCAGGTTGGAACTCAACTACTGAAGGCCCATTAAGACACAAACATAATACTGTGAGTGTGAGTGTGAGTGTGAGTGTGAGTGTGATGTCCTTCAGAGATCATCGCCAGTCAGACTTTAACCCTCTTTAGAAGTTGATATTGTAACAAGAGCTGCACTGTTACAATTTTCCCCTCCTGGATCATTTAACACGACAATTCTCTTCAACAAATCCACTTGGCTAGTTTAACCATCACTTTTTAGTGGGTGAGTGAGTGAGTGAAGATGGGTTTACGCAGCTTTTAGCATTATTCCCGCAATATCACGGTTGGGAACATCAAAAATGGGCTTCACACATAAAAATGCCAACAGGTTTGCTAAGTTGAACACTCACTGCCTCCGCAATGTATGACAATTACATGAGGGGCCAGTGCCTGATCATGAATCCTCTTTGCAACTCCAGATTTACAGCCCCCCATAAATCACCAAGACAAAGGCCCACAAGTACACAAGTCCATTCATCATCTTTCAAATTCAACTATACCTTTTCCTGACTTGACATATCTCACATATGAATTCTTGTTACAGCAAAGTTTCTGCCATTGTCATACGATAGGCCTGAATGTATGCCCAGAGTCAATAATTGTAACTATTTAGGATACTCTTTGAATGCGTTTTCATTTTTTTGGCAATCGAAACAGCCAGGTTGAATAGTATTTCCGAGTCTTGAACGTAATTGTCCTCCTTTTACAATATAGAGTTTTTCAGTGGTCGTATTTTTTGTTCACGTGGGTAAATCAATGGAAGGGAATTGGCTATTTGACCATAATATCAGATCATCGATATATCTGAAGCTTAATTTATTGGTTAAATCCCCTTGTTTTGAATTCGCCAATTCATGCATAAGCTCCTATGCATAAAGACAACATCAGCACGGAGGGGACCACAGTTGGTTCCCATGGGGTGCCTAATTCTATCCTATATGTCCAACCCCAAATTTTACAAAGATGTTATCAATGAGGAAGTCCAGCATTTCACATATTGTTTTCTCAGTAAGTAAACTTTGAGTGAGTCTATGAATAATACTAAACCACTGAAGTAACCAAAATGTGATGGCAATTCCGAGGATTGGGGCTTGACGCATCTCATCGTTTCTTTCTCCGTTTAGGAATAACTGGTGTGGAACACAAAATAAGAAATCTTCCCATAAACATATTCAAATAACGAGAAAGAACTTTGATTTGACATTTATAATAACATGCTAATAATTACATACATCTGTTTCAGGAGGCTATTCTTAGCATTTCTGGTGTATTGTCATCTTCTGTCATCCTTGCCAATCAGATCGGAGCTGGTGATTTACCGGAAGAGAGATCACAGATCATAAGTCTGTTCCTTTTCACAAGTGGCATTGCGAGTTTATTACAGGTCTGCATGGGGTGTCGGTATGTAGAGATTACTACACATTTCGTCTACGTGAGAAAGTTTGAAAAATAAAATTCTTATTCTTTTCAGGATTCAATGTATTTAATTTCCCTTGAGACCATTTAAAGCGAATACGCTGACAATAAATTATTTCAGATTTACAAACTTACTTTGAATAAATGTAAAACCAAAGTTACATCATGTGAACAGCATTTGTAAATATCACGTCAAGCTGGGCCGTCAGTTATATCCAAAACAATTTAATACTATCAAGAAGTATATGCCGTCATGATTAGCATATCAAGAAAAAAAAATTAGACTCTATGGTAAGAATTTGATTCTTGTTCTGGGGGCTCAGTCAGTTAAACCACCCACCCAACAGCCCAGACTGAGCCCCCAGTGACTATTTTCTGTTCCGACAAATGAAATCTGCCCTACGTGGAGCATTAAACAAAACTTCTAAATGTGGGACAATTATATCTGATGAATTCTTTAGAAACTCGCGTATTACGTTGTCTATACCAGGATACTTTTCTTTTTGAAAACTTTGTATACTTGAAGTGATTTCTTCTCTTGAAATAGAAAAATCTGACATATCAGCGCTAAACTAGCCTCCTCACGCTCTTTTTTTAAATGTCTTCATGCAAATCATCACTGTTATTAACAAAAGAAAATAAGTCTTTAATAGTCATTGGGGGCTAAGTCTGGGCTGTACAGTTAAATCATCCACCCAACAGCCCAGACTGAGCCCCCAGTGACTATTTCCTGTTCCGGCAAATGAAATCTGCCCTACGTGAAAGACGCTTCCAGGATGACGAGGACATAAAGGCTGCCAAAGAGGCGTGGTTTGAGGGCCAATTTCCGGATTTCTATAAAAGTGGTATTAAAAGCTTGAAGGACAAATGGAATAAGTGTATTGAGGTGAATGAAGATTATATTGAAAAATAAAAGTGCAAACGATATTCTGCGACTTGGTCTTATATTGAAGTTGCAAAACTTATTGAACACTCCTCGTATATATTCTTTTAGGATTACCAATAATGTCGACGAATTTAATTTAGGAAGAAGAACCCAGTGATGTTTGTAAAATCTGGTTGTTCTGGCGTTTCTATTTTTTGTAATAGTAAAACAGATTCTCACTGATGTGGTTCAGATTCATAGTTCAATAAAATGATCATTGTGTTGTAGATTACCAGTCATTCAAGGTCCTAACTCGTCATATCTCATTGCAATTGGTGCCATTTTCAGTGCCCAAAGATGGAGTGATGGTAGGTAGCAACTGACCGCATCCCATAATCAGAGCTCTTCATGTCTCGGGAACTTGAGGAGGTAAGGTGCAATGGGGTTAAGGCATGTGTATAGGACTTTCCGCCCGGATTGGCAAAGTCAAAACAAAGTTAATTTGGCCAAGAAGTGTAACTTGAACGTCAGGACTATCAATGATCTGACATAGTTGAATAATCATCAAATAGCCAATTCCCATCCATGATTTACCCACCTGAACTGGAAATGAAGGAGACGAATGAAACCGAATCGTTTGTTTCACATTTAGATCTATGTATAAGGATTACAAAACAGTGACAGAAACATCTCCACATGACTGTATGACAAGAGGGGTAACGTTTACTTTCCAATAGTAGAGTTTACTTTATGTCGAGCAATATTCCAGCAGCAGCATCCTCTGGTGTCTGCAATTCACAACTTTTGATGAACAATCGAGCATTGTCTTTCTACAAAGATTTCAAAGAGCGTCAGATCAGGATTTCAACATTCAGGGCCTCAGTAAAACCATCACGTTTTATGGTAGACACATGGAGGACCTTTTTTAAATGATGTCCATACAATGATCTATTTGGACTTGTACCAAATGTTCCCGTGTGTTTTCAGGTGAACTTTACTTTGCATGTGTTTACGACCTGTGTCATCGTTAGGGCAGGATACGCTAAGTCCTGGTATGGTCACTATTTTATAGTGATTCATAAATACCTGCTCATGGTATAGTTGGAACCGTACAATCGACTGCTTTTAACAGAGACTTGTTATAAATTTGGAAAGAATTTTGTCGGTTTTATTTAATGTCGCGTTCAAGATCCCTGCACTAATATAGCGACGCTAATGCATGGGTGTGTCTGGTTGTACTAGTTCGGACTAATACCGATTTTGTAGTGCCAGCCCACTGGGATAAAATGCCACAGTTTAACAAGGTTACCCCATCCAGTGTACTGGCTCAGCGCCACACAGGTCTTGTCTTATCCCATTAATACCTTGCACCAAGCAGAGCAACAACAAGAAACAGCTAGTTTCACAGACCTTCAACTATCCGGGCTGACGCCCCATCCACAAAATGCAGGAAAGAGGTACATATCAATAAATCCATTTATAATTGCAATCTCTCTCTCAACAGAATCTCTGGTTCAGGATGGATCTGCGAATGTCACCTCATCTACCACCTGGAAGATCCGAATGAGAGAGGTACAAGTACTACTTCTTCTTTTTCGTCTTTTACATTATTGGCATGTTTGTAGCATGGACAGATCAGATCATAGTTATACAGAGTTTCTAAATAATACATGTAGAGAAGACAAGAAAGCATGGAAACTTGCATAATTACAATTTGAATATGCAATACATTTTGTATTTTCATAATATCGAAGTATTTCTTTTTGAATTATTAAAAACTTTGGTTTTACTTTTTTGTCTATTAAATGTGTACAGCATAGATTTTGTTACCATAATTACTCCATTGTGTGAATTGTTATTCTTCTCTTTAAATCCAAACAGTATGTGTTCATTACTAAAATTAACTCTGCCTTCTGTATAGTTTCCAAGCCAATCTGAATGTTTCATCCATATATCAGCAGCATAGTGACAATTACATAATACATGAGTAATTGTTTCAAATGGTTCATTATATAATGAACAAATTGACGATTCATCATATCCAATTTTAAAATAAATAACATTTAGTACTTAAAATATTATGCATAACTTTAAATTGAAACCATTCTGAACTTTGTGTACATTTTTTTGCCATAAGGTTCAAGTTTGTCCACTCTGTATCTGTATATTGTTTTTCAAGGAAACCTTCCCATTTACTGTAACACTTATGTTTTATAAATTAGGGGTTTAATAGGGCTTCATAAGATACCTTGCTTCCCTTTTTATTGTTTATTTTTGATACATTATATGGCAGTATAAGCCTTTGGCAAACTTAAGCACAATTTATCATATTGTAATTCTGTAAATACCAGACTATTGCTAGTTTTACTCCTTGATAGATAAAACAGTCATCATAAGTAAATCATATAATATCCCTGTGTCATGAATGAAGTCATTTATATATGTTATACCCGTTTGATGCCATTGTGGAAAATAGATAGATTCACCATCAATTTTGATTTCATTATTATACCAGACACATTTTCTCATCATATCCTCCCCAGATTGTTTAACATTATCACAATATTTCAAGTATACTGACCACCACAGCAAAACTTTCTTCCAAAAGTTATTTTTAATGTTTGAAAGAATCTTTTTGTTAATATAGGTAGCATCAGCCAGGTAAATTACATTTGCACTAGCTACATTTTCAAAAACGAGAGCTGTCCACGTGAAATTATCATGAGCCAGTCCCTTAATCTAGCTTAATTTTTGTGTAGCGATAACCATTTCCACCACTGGGACACTGATGCTGCCATATTTAGAATGTGGTAACATAATTTTCCTTTTAACTTTGTCAGGTTTAGATCTCCAGATGAAGTGAAAACATTTTGACTGAAACTTTTCTATTACCATTCTTGGTGGGCTTGGTATACTGCAAAACAGGTGATTGAGTTTGGGTAACAACCATGATTTTAGTACAACATTTCTACCCATAGGAGTCGGGGTTCTCTTTTCCCACATATTCATTTCCTTTTCTATCTTATCAAACTTGTTTGTAAAGTTTAAATTAACCATATTTTCCAAATCAACATAAAAATCTAATAACTTAAACTGAGTTGGTGGCCAGTCCTCACATATCTTATATCTTGATCTTTTTTACCCTATCCATATCAACTTGTTTCTTTCAGCATTTACTCATAATCCTGAAAACCGGGCAAAATTCTTTAACGTACTCATTGTGGTGTAGAGGCTTTTTCAGATCAATCTAATCTTAATGTAGTATCATCCGCAAATTGTGCAAGCAGAGATTTAATATTACCCATCTGTATACCTTTTATTTTGTTATTATTTCTTATCATTATTGCTAAGATTTCGGCACAAAGAATAAAGATATATGGTGATATCGACTTGAACCCCTTGAAACCTTAAAAAGATGGACTAGTATATTCATTTACCAAAACACTTGATTCAATATTTTCGAAAATGTCTTTTAACCAATGTTGAATACTTGGTCCAAAATTTAAAAAAGTTAGTACATTATGCATAAATTTTCTTTCCACAGAATCAAAGGCTTTTTCAAAATCAATTGATAATAAACCTGGTATTTGGTAAGATTCAGTACATTCCATAACACCATAAATCATTCTTGTAACCTCACCTATCTATCTACCAGCAATGAAACCTTTTTGATCCTCATGAATAATTAAAGGCAAAAAATGTTTGAATCTGTTTGCAATTGACGCAGCTAACTTATAAGATGTGTTAAGTAGGGAGATGGGGCGCCAATTCTTTAAAAATAATTTTGGTTTATTTGTTTTGGAATACATGTTATCAATCCTTGATTTGGGGGATACTGATAGAGATCCATTTCTATATGCATTTTTTAAATATCTATGAAGATCCACCCAAAAGAATTTTATATATACTGCTGAAAACCCACCTGGGCCGGGGCTTTTTCAATGCTTCAAGTACCTCATCATAAGTCAATTCTCCCTCAGAAGAAAAAGATGTATCATCATCTAGTCTTGGCATATGGGTATCAGAAAATAGGTTTTCTAAATCAATCTGTGTGCAATCTTCAGTTTTATACAATTTCTGATAATACTCTCTAACTTCTTGAATTAGTTCATCTTGTTAATTTATTTTTGTCCCATCTCCCTTTTCAGGTTATGATATGGATTTGTTCAAAAAGTATTTTGAGGGTTTTTCACCTTGTTCTATCCATTTAATATCATAAAAGAGCCTTCAGTTCTTATTCTATACAAATTTTTCAATTCTAGTTTAGCTGAATTAAATTGTTCAATTAATTCTCCCATCTCTCTCTGTGTATTTTATTCGACTAACCTATTTTCAAACCGATTTAAATCTTGTTCTAATATGGATACCAAAGCTATGTTGTTGTTTTTACGTCTTGATAAGAGTAATATTGAACTTCCCCTAATATTTAAAAGTATCATTTCCTAAAGTAGTTTGTCATCCATTGTAAATACTCTCTCATTTTTAGCTGTCTTGTGGGGGCACGGGTGGCCCAGTCGTCTAAGGCGCCGCGATTCGCTGTGCAGACTGGCGTCCCTTCGGACGCGCCAGAAACCTATGAATGTGGGTTCGAATCCCGATTCGCCCCGATTATGTTTCTAGGTTTGTCAGCACCATGCCCCTGCTCGTGGGTTTCACCGAAATGAAAAACGTCTGAGACCTGCATCACTTCGGGCTTTCCTCCCACATTAAGCTGACACGCCGCGATATAACTGTAATACTGTTAAAAGCGGCGTTAAACCCCAACTCACTCACAATAGCTGTCTTGTCTTCATATTGATCTAGAGTATCATTAATTTTTTTTTCAACCATTGCAACAAAATGTTTATCTTTCAAAAGTGAGTTATTAAATTTCCAAAAGCCCTTTGCCCTTTGTATATCTGAAAGTGAAACAGTAAGAGATATAATAGAATGGTCAGAATTTATACCCGGTATTATCGTTGTCTTATGTGAGGCTAAAAATAATCAAAACGGCTTATTCTCCTTATCATTGAATTCACCAGTCGAGACTAAAGCTCAAAGAATCAAGGAGGAAAAACTTATTCTCCTTGATTCTTTGATCTTTACACTCGACTGGTGAATTCAATGATACAAAACTTGATGTAACATGAACAGAATACACAGAAATGAGAATGCATATAATACAACAATGTGTCTAATTACTATTATCCACGTATCAGATCCAGGGTAATCTGATGCTGGCGTCTGGAGCTCAGTTCCTTCTGGGAGTCTCGGGAGCTCTGGGGTTCCTCCTCCGGTTCATCGGTCCTCTGACAGTGGCTCCAACCGTACTTGTCCTCGGAATTACGCTCTGTCGGTACATGATACCACTGTGTGAACAACACTGGGGCATAGCCAGCTTGTAAGTAGTCAGGGAGTACTAGTTGTGACACTCTGTCGGTGCATGATACCACTGTGTGAACAACACTAGCCAGCTTGTAAGTAGTCAGGGAGTACTAGTTGTGACACTCTGTCGGTGCATGATACCACTGTGTTAACAACACTAGCCAGCTTGTAAGTAGTCAGGGAGTACTAGTTGTGACACTCTGTCGGTGCATGATACCACTGTGTTAACAACACTAGCCAGCTTGTAAGTAGTCAGGGAGTACTAGGGGTGACACTCTGTCGGTGCATGATACCACTGTAAAAACAACACTAGACAGCTTGTAAGCAGTCAGGGAGTACTAGAGGTGATATAAAAACAATCAAATACAAAGTTATTTTACTTTGTGAAATAGCAAATGCATGATACACATAGAAAGATAGCTTCTACTTCTACTTCTCGCTTCTTTACAGTGAAATTGTTTTTGTTGTATGTTGCATATAAAATAGCACAACTAGTCACAAATTATCAACAAGTAATAACATGTTGACGTTGTTTATATAGTATACATTCTCATTATGCCATGAGTACGTGATTTGCATAATTCCAATATAGCGTAAACAAGCAATACAATGATTCTTGTTTGAAAATACTAGCTTCCACACTTATTTTAATACACTCATTATCCGAAAGCGGCGTTCAACCTCACGCATGCACGCTCGCATGTACACAACACCATCCCACCTAGACACCCATCCAGACACCCATGCCCAGCTTATCAAGTGAGGATTAAGATACGGTCATGGTGATTGTGATTACATCGATTACTTATGTTCACGGTCGGTATCTTCGCAGATCGATCTTGCTCATTTTCGGGTTTTCCATCTTTCTGGCGAACGTCAAACTTCCCTTGCCTGGGTGCAGCAGGGAGAAGAAGTGTCACGTGACTCACTATCCGATATTTCAGCTGAATGCAGTGAGTATATAACTGATGACACAGATTGCCTTTTCACTCGCTTGAATTTCACGAGATATACGAACCAATTTTATAAGCATCATGTAGTGCATTCGTCAGTTAACCCCTCAATGTTTTTAAATACTGATCAAACAATGGTAAATCCCATATCAACAGATTGAGTCTATTTATTGATTGAAGTAAAAGCAAACCATTCGTGAAGTTTATGCTTGTCTCTGTCTTCAGGTGGTTCTAGCTATCGGGGTGACTTGGTGTTTGTGTCATGTGCTAACTGTCACAGATGTGTTGTCCAGCAACTCCACTAGCCATGGTCATATGGCCAGAACTGACGTCCGAACAAGCGTCCTCCACGATGCTCCTTGGTGGTATTTCCCACTGCCATGTAAGCACGAGTAAAATCATGGCTCTTCGACGTCATTATGCTGTACAATATTGAAATATGAAATGTACATTATCCTGTCCTTATTTCAAGATTGATTGGCTCATCTTGTTTAATTACTCCAGCTATATGACAAATATGTGTAGATGTATGTGCAAAATTGTACATAAATAATGACAATGTAATATTTAAGAGCAAAGCATCACGTGATCTTCCACCCGCCCATCCCCGACACACCACCTTGCCAACCCGGGCGGCATACACTTAAAATTCTTTACGTTTATTCATTTTGTGATGAACACCTTTGGCCAACATTTAATATGATTTGTTTTCATTGATATTTTGTAACAAGCGTCCTCCACGATGCTCCTTGGTGGTATTAGGTGGTATTAGGTCAACGACCAAAATAGTACATGAATAACAATGTAACATTTAAGAGCAAAGCATCACATGATCTTCCACCCACCCATCCCCGACACGCCATCTTGCCAACCCCGGAGGCATCCACTTCTAGATAATGAAATTTTACGTTTATTCATTTTGTGAACATTTAATATGATTTGTTTTCATTGATATTTTGTAATAGTTGGATGCATTTAACCATAGTACGATTTGCTCTATGGTGATATGATATATATCCACTACGTGTAGATGATTATAACGACCAGCACACCACGCCTATGAGGAAGGATGACACGCAATCGACCAAGTAACCAACCATGACCACCCGACCCATTCAGTCGCCTCTTTCAACCAGTATGGGTTGCTGCGGACAAATTTTAACCCTGGGTATTATAAAGTTGTTGTTACAAGATTCAAGGCCTCACTAAAACATTTAAAAAAGCTTTATGGTAGACATATGCATGACATTACACAGTCTGACGCATCAGTGACAAAAAATGATGTCCGATTCATTTTTTTTATTTTGACTTGTAGCATATGTTCCGGTTCTTTTTCAGGTGAACATATCACTTGCCTTTGCATATGTTTGTAACGGGTGCTACCGGTGGCGCAGGATACGCCCGCCTATTTGCGAGACACTTGAAGATCCGGGGTAGAATAGGTCTTCAGCAACCCATGCTTCCCGTAGCAAGGCGACAATGCCTATCGTAAGAGGCGACTAATGGTATCGGGTGGTCAGGCTCGCTGACTTGGTTGGTGCATGTCATCGTATCCCAATTGTGTGGATCGGTGCTCATGATATCAATCAGACCCCGTCATATAGCTGGAATATTTCTGAGTGCGGCGTTAAACAACAAACCTATTTGCGAACACCTGATTTCATCACTATTTGATAGTGATTCATAAACATTGTCGGAAAGGGTTTTAACGCCTTTTTTACAACAATATCAGCAACCGATTTGCACTATTTACGACTGTGCTTTACACAAGGAGGACAATGCTTAATGAATTCATAATAAATGAAATGACTGTGAAATTACATCTGCATATGGGGCTTTCAGCTTTAAAGCAAACAAATGGGTTTAACTCCACTTAAAAAGGTATTGTCATTTACAGGCGCGTAATCTTAAGACAAAGCCCACAGCGACGCAAGTAGTATTCATTGCAAAAAACAAGGGTCATAATCGGGGCGAATCTGGGATTCGAACCTTCTACAACAGTACTAACAAATGATATTATTTATTTCCAGTTCAGTTCGGAACGCCGACCATTAGCTCTTCTGGTTTTGCTGCCATGTTAGTCATCACCATGGTTACCATCATCCAGGCACCAGGATTTTACTCTGCAACAGCCACTGTAGTAGAGTTACCTCCCCCTCCTGCCCACGCCTTGAACAGAGGGATTACAGTGGACGGAATGACCAGTGCAATCAGCGGCATGTTGGGAGGGGTGTGTTCGAGCGTCGTGTACATTCAGAGCCTCGGGGTGGTCACTGCGACAAAGGTAGGCTAGAGATAAGATGTCATGCCACATCACAACGTGTTTCACTGTAGGGGGCAAATTCAACATTAGTTTTGTATTGATCCCTTCAGAGGCTAAAATCAAATTTGGTAGTTTCTTCCAATGATTCCAGCTACCGTTATTCCTGGTTTAGTGCACCAAGGGCTGTCACATCCACATGGATGACTGTCTGAGCTCCGATCTACACCAGTGGCTAATGATTGAAGGACCCATCCAAACCAGTGGCTAACTGTACGAACACCGATACAAACCAGTGGTGGACATTGTGAACACCGATCCATACCATTGTGTTGTCACTCACGGCTTACTGTACACAGACTCTGGACATGCACCTCAACAGTGAGAATCATTATTGGTGGCACCGTTTTTCCATTCTTCCGAGTACATTCACGACCAGGATATGTTGCTGACCAGGTGTATTTGTACTCCTCATTTGTATAAATCTGCTCCCATCAGTATTATAGTCAAGTACAGAGACTACACGATTTGAAGTTTGGATAAAATCGTTTGAACATTAGTTCAAAAGATCTTATTGTGGGAATCGAAACCATTTCAAGGCTTGTAGTAAGTACAACTGTCAACAGTGCTGCTTTTTAATGTACGCCGTTTTCTAATCAACAGGTTGCGAGTCGTATGGTGTTTGTGTCAGCTGCCTTGATTCTGATGGTAGGAGGAGTTGTAGGCAAGGTTGGAGCGGTGTTCACAATCATCCCTGACCCTGTGGTGGGCGGGGTCAACTTGGTGGCATTGAGCACAGTGACGGCAGTGGGCGTGTCCATGTTGCACACAGTCGATCTGTCTTCCTCCAGGAACCTGCTCATCCTGGGGACATCTGTCACACTGGGGATCCTCCTCCCAGACTGGATGGCCGCCAACGAAGACTCTATCAACACAGGTATTACGATCTCAATTTCACCCGAGAGGTAGCTGTGTAAGGCATGGTTCTCAGATATCATCACGCCATGTTGTAAGCGTGTTGTTTGATTGTTTGGTGATGTATAAAATGGGCGATGGTTCAATTTGCAAGCTGTCATGGAATATTTAGCTTTAATCAGGATAATCATGGTTCTCAGATATCAACACATCATGTTGTAAGCGTGTTGTTTGAAGGTTTGCTAATGTATCCAATGGGGGTTGGTTCAGGCATTTTAAGTAGCAAGCCGTCATGGAATACTTAGCTCTAACCAGTATCATTATGTTACAGTAACATGATATATAACAGTAGGTCTACAATCACGTCATCATACCGAGACACGAGTTCACCCAGAATGAATCTCTAGATTTCAGGTTCATAGTCAGTAAACTGTTCCATTTCTGTTGCTGCCCGTCGTGCTAGATTTTTCTTTGTGTTTTTAGGCAACTCGGGATTCGATCAAGTGCCGGTGGTGCTGCTGTCAACATCCATGTTTGTAAATATTTCTTTGTGTTTTAGGCAACGCGGAATTTGATCAAGTGCTGGTGGTGCTGCTGTCAACACCCATGTTTTTGACCATATTCTTGGGCTGCATCCTGGACAATATAGCTCCAGGTATAATCTATCAAATAAGTGAATATCTTTGACGCTTGATACATGTCGCACACCCCGTCCGGCAACGATGACAAAAATAAGAATCTCTGAAATACGTGAAAATACCTGAAAATACGTGAAATACTGGTGGCGTATTCTAACCCGGATCCCCACGCGAGACAACTCATTAAGACATGGTTGTCACAAACTGATGTTCAGTGATCAAGTAAGTCACTATTCACTAATTCACTATTTTTCCTTTTGCGCCCATTTTTGCCTTTGAGCAGATAATGGAGACTGATTATTCTCTGGCGTTGACGTTCGATATTTCTATAATTAGGACATTGTTTCCATAGATATAATGTATATAATGTGCACAACACACAGGTGTATGTAACGCAACAAAAACAGAAGCTACAAGGTATATGTCTGTGTCATGATGTTCCAAACTCCCTGCTAAGAATTTGTATGGTAAAATGAGATTATCTACATTTTTTCATCTCCACTTCATCTTGACTTCGGGCTTTTTATGTCTCATTATGCAGCCTCTGTATTTGCGTGATATGCGTGTACAGTTTTATAGGGTTATTCACGGTGAACATTCTTGAAGTCGCCCTCGAACGAATGTGGTGTGTTTCATCCCTTTCCTTTATTTAGTACTGGCGCTGGTTGTGACCACATCTTGCAGCTGCTATGTTTTAAGCTATTTGTCTCTGTACCACAACAACTGTGTTTACGTCACTGATATTCCATCACTTCTCACAGGCGGAATGCATTCTCACTCAGGCTTATCACCTGCAGGTACACTTGAGGAGCGTGGCATGGCGAAACCTGATTTAACAGCACCACGTGACGCTCACGTAACGACTGATGACCCGTACAGGTTGCCTTACGTCTCCACTTTCATCGACAGGCTCAGGTGCTGTTCTTATTTCCCAGTGTCCCCGACATTCGACAAAGAAATCACGTGTAAACAGTGTCACAAGGGGGGAGAATATGTCGAAGAATAAAATTTGAATTGAAGTGACTTTTTTTCCGAAAGACGTATTCTTGTACCTAAACCATAACGACCAAAGAGGGAAGATGAAGTTCCATGAAGCACAAAATACATTTGTAACAGTTGACAAATCAGTCGGTGAAATAAACATTGATCCTTACGCTGACGTCGACAGAACTCGAACTTATCTTAAGTCTTATAAGTATCCAAGTTCTCAACAGCAAAACGATCATTGCTTGACCTTTTATCTCATGAAATGAATACTTATTTCATCACAATTAAAAATCAATGACTGCAACGTCCAATCGTAACACTATCATGACGTCATTGTCATTGTGATATCAGCATGTTATACCATTCGTAGTAAATGAATATCTACAAGCACATTTCCTTGGAATCTGGCAGATACTGGGTCCCTGTTTCCAAAAGCTCGTTTGTTGTAACATAAACTACCTGGCAAAAGAGAGTATTCACTTGAAAAGTGGGTTTGACGAATACAGCCATCGAAACATTGCAAACTTTAATTCTAACCCTAACCCAGATACCCGTATCAAATACATCACCATCGACCTGGGTGTATACTGTCTTGATATTGCAAATTAAAGTGCTTACATCGATTTTTGAACAACTCCCTGCAATCCAGTGTCAGAAAGATAACGTCGACATAGCGCCGGCCTATAAGTGTCTCTCACAGATATACCGGTGGTGTTCCGCGTGAGCACCGATCTACGCCATTACAGTCAGTCACTAATCTGCATGGTATCAGTGTACACAGTGGAGGGAGTTTGGTTGAACGCCGCTTTGAACAGTATTTTAGTTATTTCACAGGATGATGTGGAGGGAAAGTCGGTATAAAACATTTACAACTTTGGCCGTGGTGTCGAAATGATGAGAGTCGATTGAACCCGATAGGACACGTGAGATACTGAGTTCTCATGACCTTGACCCTTAGTCCTTGACTCCGATGGTAGTGTGTTATAGAAACATGTGGAATGTTCCAGTGGCGAGGGCACTGAGTAGAAATTTCCAGTATCTAGTTAGGCTGTTTTTTTTTATAGTGGGACACGAACGTGGCTACACATCTCTCACACAATGTATCTAATGTTACTTATATATTGTACTCTTGTACCAGGGTGGGTGTTTTTGTGTTAATAAATGAATCTGAATCTAACAGTTTGGGCAGTGGCCGTGTCTACATTATAGACTATACTGACAGAGCATCTCGACTGTTTGGTGTTTGGGAAAACGATTAACCTTTGAATTTGAGAAACCATGATCTAGAGACTTATAGTCAGAAGTCATATTTGTGGTCACATTGATATTAATCATGGATATTTATATATTTTTATCTTTGAATTGATATAGTTATTGTTATATATATATGTATCATGTAATACATTATCAAACAAAGTTTGCTATCGTCTTCAAACATGTAAGTTTGTTCTTTGATTTGAACCTGATCCCCCCTCAGATGAGAATGAAATGACTAAGCCCACTTAACAACCCATTCCCACAAGATCTGATAACAAGAAGTCACAATGCGTGCATTCCCACATGACCTGATGGGTTTTTGGTTTACACATTAGATCAAGTGGAATAACACCGTCCCAGTGCGGTAACATTTGACACTTACTCCGTTAGAGTCACGTGAAGAAACGTTGTGTTCCCAATGTGCCTTTCGGCTGAATGTTGTTTTAGTCACGGGTTGGTGGTGAGCTGACTAAAGTCTGTTTCAACTGAACTCAGATCGCTCAGCCAGTAGGTCGTACTATAATTACGTGACAGAACAGTGGGTCGAACGTGGAAGCGTTCCATGTGGAACCACTTCGACAACCACGTAGTGGGAAGGCATTCCAAAAATGTAAAATTGTGAGCAAACCAAATTCAACGGGAAAATGCAATGACTTGATAAAGAAAGAACAATCGAATGTTGAAATTACACTGTGACAGTTTCGGGCGGGCAGTTCCACCCGTCCGAGAGAGAAGATGTGTCGTGCCATGGATGACCGCCTGAACGTCCTGAACACCCGTCTGCTGCGGGGAACATTTCTGCCATTGACCATAGAGATGCTGTTTCCCATCTTGTTCGTGTACCAGTGCTAAATATGTCTGTGTGTGCTTTGCTGATATGAGTAATCAAAGTATTTTGTGATGTTGGTCAGCTGGCTACTGAATTTGTGAATAAGATATGACTACTGAATGATATGCATGCCATTTTATAATTATTAGATATAAAATAATTGGACGAATTAATAATGAAATATAAATACATAACCAGAATTATGCTATGGTAATAAAGAAATAACGATGATAATTTCTATTACTTTTCATTTTTGGCTGGCTACAGACAATAGGCTAAACACAGAAACAGGCTATAACCTAATGGTCTTTTGAAAAGCGGATTATCACGGCTTTAGTTATTTATTTAGTGATTTAGTTATGTCAACAATTGGGTCTGGCAAAGCGAGAACGTTGTCTACCCGGGAGATCGACCTTTGTTCGTTACAGTATATTGTTTGTCTATTTTTTATTCCCTAATTTATATTTACCCAAATGCTTGTTTTCACAGCTTCTATTGTTCCGAATTGGCAGCCAGTCCGATAATCACCCGCTTTGTTATTTCTAACATCACAAAGGCTCGCACTGAACCATTTACTACATATTACACAACAGACAGTTAGTTTATGTAACACTCGGCCCAAGATAGGACAGATATTACTTTACCACAGAACATGGAGGACGGTGTGTCATTACCTGGCATGTCTGAAGTAGAGAATTCAGACATCCAGACAGAAAGTAGAAAAGGAACTTTTCTCTACCCAGTGGATAAATCTCCACCCCTCATCTTTCTGCCGCTTCATGGATTACAGGTATGGCATGTTTGTCTCCATTCCACTCGAGTCGTAAATAGAATATACAATAGTTGCGGTTAAGACTTTGGCTTATGCAGGGCACATACAGTGCAAATGAAACAGATAATAGCCACAGACAAAGATTTGGGCTTAAAAAGCAAAATAGTGGTGAAAATGATATGATTTTATCACTGAGAATCAATGATGACACCTGGTGTTCGCGGAAAGGGTTAGCACGTCCTTCCTTACCGTTAGCACCCACCACTCACAAATTGGCATAAAACGTATGTATTTGTCCTGTCTTACCGTGGCCTGCAAAGAAACCAGACACTGAAATGTTTAAAGGCGATTAACATTGCACAATTATTTGTGTTTGCAAGTGACCATGCGAGTTTTATTCATGTATTTTACATCAAAATATGTAATGTTTTCACAATAAATTCAGTTGCGCCTCCAAATCAGAGTCTCGGAGTAGAGGCGAGTTTCTAATGTAAACGTTTTTATCATTTCACAGTTATTTGTGTTTGCAAGTGACCATGTGAGTTTAATTTCATGTATTTCTGTACCAAGGTTAGAAAAATGGTGCTGTTTTCGCCAGGCAATAGTAGCCGTGTTTGCTTGAGGCGAGGTGCCGTTTTCGCCAAATGGTGCCGTTTTCGCCAAGTTACGTCTTGCTGAGGTGCCATTTTAGCTATAACCCATCGGTAGACCAGAAACTCGAGTGACGCAAAAACGATTTGTTTTTTGAAACTGCAAATGATATCCTACTTTTTTAACGTCTGCTATGCACAAGCGCTATTAACTTCGGTATTTCAAATGCCTTGATTTATAGTTTGTGGTTTTGATCTTGGGATAGCTGGTTATATTTCAATGATCACAAAGTCTACGAGTTGGCTATATCTTAGTGTAGCAATAATGGTAAGACATATTATGTCATCAATAAGAAGTGTTAATTCCAGATATATTAAATCGTCTATCTATACCCCGCATGAAGGAAATTTGAAGGCTTTGAGTGGTTCTTGTAGGCTTATATCCCCAATGGTAAGTACACCCGCCCCAGTAAATACCTGCAGATAATACCACATCCATGCCAAAATTCTATGTCACGGATAAAGTCTAAGCAAATAAGTCAACTGGAAGAGCTGATTACATGTATGAAATTGCGGGTAGACATCGTTGCATCAGTGTGAGGGGGCACGGGTGACTCAGTCGTCTAAGGTGCCGCGATTCGCATCCCTTGGGCACGCCAGAAACCTATGATTGTGGGTGCGAATCCCTCTTCGCCCCGATTATGTTTCTAGGTTTGTCAGCACCATACCCGTGTTCCTGGGTTTTACCGAAGTGGTAAACGTTCTGAGATCTGCATCAAACTGCGTTAAACACAACCCACTCACTCAATTTATCTGTTAAATCTATGATTTTAGTAGTTAGTTGGAATTGTGACATGCAATTATCTGTGTTGTTTATGTTGTCTAAAATCAAGCTTAATTATTGCTTGTGGCATAGGTTTGTCGTCCAACAGATTTGATCAAGAAGTAAACTGGAAGTGAAAGTGTAGACGGGCACGGGGTACATAGCTACACAGACTGACACACACACAGACAGACACACACACGCGGAACTTCTGATAACATACATATATTTTCAGTCAGGAAACTCACGGAAGTCAAATGAGCCTTACCCCTTCGGGGCACGGGATACCTAGTATACGGGATGTGTTTGTTAATTCACACACACACACACACACACACACACACACACACACACACACACACACACACACACACACACTCACACACACTCACACACACACACACACACACACACACACACACAGACAGCAGGAACAAGTACGTGTCTTGATTCGTTGGTTACAAAATACTGACTTGAAAGTGAAAAGTAAGCGTACGTATTTACGGGTGATGGAGGTACGTTGTGTTATCATACCGTGAAGTATTGACGATATCCGTCTAAATGCCCTGGTTACGGAGAATTAAGAACACGATTTCACTGTAAGTTGAAGTTTGATAGCGCCAGACAAGATAACAACAACAACAACAACAATCTTTTAACGTCTTTTGGGATGCCGCAGCCAGGGATCGAACCCGGACCTTCCGCTCTCCGGGCGGACGCTCTACATTAGACCACGGAGGCGGTAACAATTGGATGAAATGGCATGGGTGTGCACATCAAGACAACCTTGCTATCTATCTATTTCCTACTTCTACCACATCATAGTATGACGTCACTTCGTAGTCACCTGAGACATCAAAGCGGTGTCAATCATTTTAAGTATGGAGCGCTGTAAACATAAACATCAGTCATACACACCATATCTGATTTGTGATGTCTTGACCTTAATAGACCGCCTCTGTGGTCTAGCGGATAGGACGTCTGCCCGGAGAGCGGAAAATCGGTGGTTCGATCCAATGGGTTCCTCAAACCAAAAGACGTTAAAAGATGATATGTGTTATTACCAAATGTCCCAGGTTTAACTGTACTAAGAGTCTACATCCCAAATACAGCTCTGGCGAAGAAGTGATGGCTTAATCCCGATCACCCATTTCAACAGTTCTTAATCAAATAATGTTCTCCAAAGAAATACCACCAGGGAGAGAAATATCCGATGACAATGCACGACGGGAAGTGTGTACCGACCCGCGCCCTGCGCCCCGTGGACCTTTTCATAGTTCTCTGTCTGGGATTGATTTGAGGAATTTGACAAACTGAGCTGCACCATATCAAACCCACATAACGGTACCTATTACGCATACAATCTCAGATCACTTATCAATGTTTTTCATTCAGTTACTGTTACATGTACAAACTAATGGCATTTGTGATATCATTGTCATTTAATGGATGAAAGTCATGATCCAAATGTCCCGTGTTAAGGATATAGAGATTTCGTACGATTATGGAAAAGGTTTTGTTACTTTTATTCATTCCGTGATAAATGAAGTTACATAAGATCAGTCGAGTGGCATGGCCAATATCATCATCATTGTTCCAAGCACATCCTTAAGCTCCTTGTCTACCAGACATGCAAGTTGATTCTCGCTTCTATGTACTTTGCCATCTTCAGGTCATCGTCATCCACAGAACAACTATAGCTTCAGGTTTAAACTCAACTACTGAAGGCCCATTAAGACACAAACATTATACATCTGTGAGCGTGGCGTCCTTCAGAGACCATCGCCCGTCACACTTTAATGCTCTTTAGAAGTTGAAGAGCCTCTCTCACAAACATCCCCGAATTGATATTGTAACAAGAGCTGCACTGTTCGTATTTTCCCCTCCTGGATAATGTAAAACGACAATTCTCTTCATTGGTTGGTTTGTTTTTATTTTTTTGCAATCGAAATTTTGCAATTCACACGTGTCTTAGCGGACATGAATGGCGCCATCATCATTTTCAGATTCTGTTTCTGAGTCATTCATATTTCCAAAGCGTCGAACGCAACTGGTTTTCCGAGTGTTTAGCTGATACATTGTCTACATGTAGTGAATGAGTTACATAATGTCGAGGGTCATTTCAAGTTGGTAAATCAGTGGAGGGGAATTGGCTACTTGCCCATTTCACCAGAAGCTTAATTTATTGGTTAAATCCCCTTGTTTTGAATTCGCCAATTTAAGCATAAGTTCCTGTGCATAAAGACACTGATCAGCACGGAGGGGACCACAGTTGGTGCCCACGGAGTGCCTAATTCTGGCCTATATGTCCAACCACCAAATTATACAAAGATATTATTCAATGAAGAAGTCCAGCATTTCACATATTGTTTTCTAAGTAAACTTTGAGTTAGTCTATGAATACTCCTAAATCACTGACGTAACCAAAATGTGATGACAATTCCGAGGATTGGGCTTGAAGCATCTCATCGTTTATTTCTCCGTTCTGGAATAACTCTTGTGGACCACGAATTAAGAAATCTTCCCATAAATATATTCAAATAACGAGAAAGAACTTTGGTTTGACCTTTGTAATTACTTGCTAATAATTACACATATCTGTTTCAGGAGGCTATTCTTAGCATTTCTGGAGTATTGTCAGCTTCAGTCATCCTTGCCAATCAGATCGGAGCTGGTGATTTACCGGAAGAGAGATCACAGATCATAAGTCTGTTCCTTTTCACAACTGGCATTGCGAGTTTATTACAGGTCTGCATGGGGTGTCGGTATGTAGAGATTACTACACATTTCGTCTACGTGAGAAAGTTTGAAAAATAAAATTCTTATTCTTTTCAGGATTCAATGTTTGATTTCCCTCGAGACCATTTAAAGCGAATGCGCTGACAATAAATTATTTCAGTATTACAAACTCACTTTGAATAAATGTAAAATAGAAATAGACCGTGAGGAGGCTAGTTTAGCGCGGAACTATCAGATTCTTCTATTTCAAGAGATAAAATCACTTCAAGTATACAAAGATTACGAAAAGAAAAGTATCCTGGTACTGACAACGTAATACGCGAGTTTTTAAAGAATTCATCAGATATAATTGTCCCTAATTAAGAAGTCTTTGTTTAATACAAAAACTACACCGAAAAATATTCTTAGATATCATCAATAGAAGTTTGGTATTTGGGGCTGAATCATTTCAGAAAATAGACGAGGCACAAGCTAATCTTATAAGAGGGTAAAAGAATCTTTTTGTGTTCCATTCCTCAATTCAACGTTATTTATCAAGTTAAGTAGGTAAACTTTATGCCCTTGTTGTAGATTATTCCAAAGCATTGAACTCTGTTAACCATGTTAAACCTTGGGCCTTGCTAAAATTACGAGAGTAAGCAGTAAGATGTTGAAACTATTATCAAGTATCTATGAACAAATACAGGCTTTCGCTAATGGCAAGTACTCAGAAAAGTTTGAATGCAATGTAGGTTTTCGACAAGGATGTATATTAAGTCATTTTCTCTTCACTTTCCTTATAAACGAGCTGGCAGACGAAATACAAAATAATTGCTAAGGTGGTATCCAGCTGCACCCAGATATTGTTGATTTTGTCAACACAAAAAGACCGAAGCTACTGTATTTATCAAGGAGAGAGAGAGAGATGTTTTTGTTTTTTGAGAGAGAGAGAGAGAGAGAGAGAGAGAGAGAGATGGTTTTACAAAGACAGTTCTCTGGATGTAGTTACAAGCTATAAAAATTTAGGAGTACATTTTCCTATTAAATTATCTTGGGATCTTCATTCAATACAGGCTGCAACACAAGCAAAGAAAATTCTCTATAGGAAACTGAAAAGTCTAAGAACTATTGAGAGTTTTGTTTTTTTTCTATTTTTAATATTCATATATATGGTTTTACACAGCATTTAGGAGAAATTGGCTTCACACATTGTACCCATGTGGGGAATCGAACCCGGGTTTTTGGCGTGACGAGCGAACGCTTTAACCACTAGGCTACCCTACCGCCCCCACAGTGATATGGTTCTTTTATTTGCTTGTTGTTTAACGCCGCACTCAGCAATATTACAGCTATATGACGGAGGTCTCTAAATAATCGACTCTGGACCAGACAATCCAATTTGACATCATGGACATCGATCCAAGCATTTGGGATATAAGAACATGCATCAACCAAGTCAGCGAGCCTGACCACCCAAGTACCATCGGTCTATGGCCTTTCAGTATTTCTGTAATTGATTGATTTATAGATTGATTGATATATTTGTTACGTTCATAGTTCTGTTTTTGACCTGAAGTTAACAGTGTTTGAGCAACTGTTTTCAGCGGAGTAACGTTTCGATAACGTTTGCATATTTTTATATCAAATCCAATTTTCAAGTGTATAGTTTCCTTGCCCGGCAGTTGATCCTGCAAGCTATTATAACAAAGCATTTTATCTAAAGGAGATATCATGGTGAGTCACACGACGCTTGCTCAAATCGTGTTTGATCAGAGTTACACCATTCAAGGTTTTAGTAAAGTTTTAGAACAATTTGTGGAGGACATTTACAAATGTACAAATCAGTGACCAAAATTATGTCCAGTGCAGTTAATTCCCTGTTTCTACTTGTAGCATATGTGTTTGCCAAGGTTTTTCTCACGGTGATTACTTGACTTGCATGTGCATGTACAACCTAGATAAGCGTAAGTTGGAAAACATATTTGTCCGTGTGTCCACATTTCACAGATTACATTCTTTTGGACGAAGTCTATCTGAGTACATGCAAACGTTTTCAGACAGACAAAACCAACTATCGATTTCTAGATAAAACGCTTGAAAAGATACATATCGTTTGGTCAACTCACCCACATGCCGAATCCACGGCGATATACCTCAGAAGCCTGAAGAATTAATTGGCCAACATTTGAAGGCAACAATGCCGGGTTTACCTTTACATCATCTTTGTTTAACACCATTTCGCAATGGGAAAATCGTTTGGAAATTAAGAAAGACAGTCCATATTAAGATCACCAATAGTGTCGACGAATTTATTTGAGGAAGAAGAAGTTGTTTGAACACGACTCAGTGATGTATGTAAAATCTGGTTGTTGTTGTTATAAGGTTACAATGTGTCTCAAAAACATTAGAAAAATGTAACAAATAAAACCGTTTATAGCTGCAATGAGAAGCCTATTCTTGACATTTCAAATTTATCATTGGATTGGTTCCAGGTTATAGTCCATTAGCTAATGAAACAAGCAGAGAGACAAGATATATTTCATTTGTAGCACCCGGAGAGAGTCACAAAGTCACTAGAGAGATGAGCAATCTGGCACGTAGGTTTCGGTATTTTTCCGATTACGACACACATGAGTTCATGGTCATATCTAACTTTTAACGAATCAAAATGAGGTATTGTGACATGTGACGAAGACAGGCCAGGCCCGAACACGGTAAAATGATACCTTCAACATTAAGAGAGGAGAGCGCGGTTTGCATTCAAGTTTTCCCCATTTAGTGACAAGTCTGGCCAGTCTGATTCTGTCCTGTATTGATAGATGGGCTAAGAGTTAGTAAAACTATGTGAGTATAAAGCTGGTGTTGCGTTTCTTTCTTATGCGAATATTAATGCTGATACACACAACTTGGAGTAAGCGCCGTTAGTCCAATCACTCCTTGACGGAGCCGAGCCGCTGCGGACAAGGCGAATTGCAAAGTCATGGCGTATTTGACCATAATGACCAGGAGCGGCAATACTTTTGGTAACTGTAGTAGGGTCGCACTTGACGCCCGAAAGCAGTTACGACATGGTATTCATATTTTTTGTAATATTAAAACAGATTCTCACTGATGTGGTTCAGATTTATAGTTCAATGAAATGATCATTGTGTTGCAGATTACCAGTCATTCAAGGTCCTAACTCGTCATATCTCATTGCAATTGGTGCCATTCTCAGTGCCCCAAGATGGAGTGATGGTAGGTAGCAACTGACCGCATCCCATAATCAGAGCGCTTCATGTCTCGGGAATGTGAGGAGGTAAGGTGCAATGGGGTTAAGGCTTGTGTATAGGACTTTCCGCTTGGATTGACAAAGTCAAAACAAAGTTAATTTGTCTAGGAAGTTTAACCTGAGCTACAGGACTATCAATGATCTGACATCGTTGAATAATCATCAAATAGCCAATTCCCATCCATGATTTACCCACCTAAACTGGAAATGAAGGAGACGAATGAAACCAAATCGTTTGTTTCACATTTAGATATATGTATAAAGATTCAAAAACTGTGACAGAAATATCTCCACATGACTGTATGACAAGAATGGTGACGTTTACTTCAATAGTAGAGTTTACTTTATGTCGAGCAATATTCCAGCAGCAGCATCCTCTGGTGTCTGCAATTCACAACTTTTGAGGAACAATCGAGCATGCTCTTTCTACCAAGATTTCAAAGAGCGTCAGAGTGGTTCAATCAGAGTTTGAACATTCAGGGACTCGGTAAAGCCATCAAAACGTTTTATGGAAGATACATGGAGGACATTTTGTCAGTGACAAAAATTATGTCCGATGCAATGCTCTATTTGGACTTGTACCATATGTTCCCGTGTGTTTTCGGGTGAGCTTTACTTTGCAAGTGTTTATGACCTGTGTCACCGTTGGGGAAGGATGCTGGATAACTCCTGGTATTATCACTATTTTAAGGTGATTCATGAATACCTACTCACGATATATACACAAAGAAAAAAGTAAAGCACACCCCTATTTCTGAACCATGACAAATGGCCAAAATCATGGCATTGGATGACTGACCACAGGAACCATACAATCGACTGCTGTTAACAGAGACATATATGAAATTGGTTTTGTCGCTGTTATTTCACGTCGTGTTCACTGCACTAATATAGCGGCGTTAATGCACGGGTATGTCTGGTTGTACTAGTTCGGACTAATACCGGTTTTGTAGTGCTAGCCCTCTAGGATACCATGCCCAGGATGCTCCACCCAGTCTACTGACTCAGAGCCATCCAGGTCTTGCCTTATACCCCTAATCCCTTGCGCCAAGCAGAGTAAAAACAAGAACTATCTTTTAACTTTAACCATCCCGCTTCCCGGCAGACGCCTCATCCACAAAATCACAGAGGCGGTTGCAAATTGCAGGATGTTGTTGATTTTTAATTGCATGCAATGATCTCTCTCAACAGAATCTCTGGTTCAGGATGAATCTGCGAATGTCATCTCATCTACCTGGAAGATCCGAATGAGAGAGGTACAAGTGATTATTCTCCTCGATTCTTTGAGCTTTAGTCTCGACTGGTGAATTCAATGATAGAAAACTCGATTTAACATTAACAGAATACACAGAAGTGAGAATGCATATAACACAACAATGTGTCTAATTACTATTAACCATGTTTCAGATCCAGGGTAACCTGATGCTGGCGTCTGGAGCTCAGTTTCTTCTGGGAGTCTCGGGAACTCTGGGGTTCCTCCTCCGGTTCATCGGTCCTCTGACAGTGGCTCCAACCGTACTTGTCCTCGGAATTACGCTCTGTCGGTACATGATACCACTGTGTGAACAACACTGGGGCATAGCCAGCTTGTAAGTGGTCAGGGAGTACTAATACTAAATGATAATCAAATATGTTCGAAATTTATATAAGGTTTGTAAAGCTGCTATCCCAGGTTTTGTAAGGCTACTATCCCAAGTAAAAAAGCAAATGTTTTCACACATGGAAATACTTGTGTACAGTGAAATTGTTTTTGTTGTTTGTAGCATATAAAATAGCACAAATAGTCACAACATATCAACAACTAATAACATGTTGAAGTTGTTTACATAGTACACAGTCTACTTATGTCATGAGCACGGGCTTTGTATATTCCAATATAGCGTAATCAAGCAATACAATGAATCCTGTTTGAAAATACTAGCTTCCCCACTCATTTTATTATATTCACGTTATTATCCGAAAGCGGCGTTCAACCTCACGCATGCACGCTCGCATGTACACAACACCATCCCACCTAGACACCCATCCAGACACCCATGCCCAGCTTATCAAGTGAGGATTAAGATACGGTCATGGTGATTGTGATTACATCGATTACTTATATTCACGGTCGGTATCTTCACAGATCGATCTTGCTCATGTTCGGGTTTTCCATCTTTCTGGCGAACGTCAAACTTCCATTTCCTGGGTGCAGCAGGGAGAAGAAGTGTCACGTGACTCACTATCCGATATTTCAGCTGAATGCAGTGAGTATATAACTGATGACACAGATTGCCTTTTCACGAGATAAACGAACCCATTTTATAAGCATTATGTAGTGCATTCGTCAGTTAACCCCTCAATGTTTTTAAATTCTGATCAAACAATGGTAAATCTCATGACTATATTTTTAAATTAGGACCAAACAGTGGTAAATCCCATGACTATCTATCTATCTATCATATCAACAGATTGAGTCTATGTATTAATTGAAGTAAAAGCAAACCATTCGTGAAGTTTATGCTTGTCTCTGTCTTCAGGTGGTTCTAGCTATCGGGGTGACTTGGTGTTTGTGTCATGTGCTAACTGTCACAGATGTGTTGTCCAGCAACTCCACTAGCCATGGTCACATGGCCAGAACTGACGTCCGAACAAGCGTCCTCCACGATGCTCCTTGGTGGTATTTCCCACTGCCATGTAAGCACGAGTAAAATCATTGCTCTTCGACGTGAAAACGCATAACATTATCCTGTACAATATTGAAATATGAAGTGTACTTTATCCAGTCCTTATTTGAAGATTGATTGGCTCATCTTGTTTAATTACTCCAGCTATATGACAAATATGTGTAGATATATGTACATAACAAGTCTGGACCAGTTAATCTCTTAGGTAATACAGACAAACAGACAGACAGAAGATTATATTAGGTCAACGACCAAAATAGTACATAAATAACAATGTAACATTCAAGAGCAAAGCATCACATGATCTCCCACCCACCCATCCCCGACACACCATCTTGCCAACCCCGGAGGCATACACTCCAAATAATGAAATTCTTTACGTTTATTCATTTTGTGATGGACACCTTTGGCCAACATTTAATATGATTTTTTTCATTGATATTTTGTAATAGTGGGATGCATTTAACAATAGTACGATTTGCTCTATGGTGATATCATGTACATCCACTACGTATAGATGAATATAACGACCAGCACACCACGCTATGATTTTACACAAGGAGGACATGCTTAATGAATTCATAATAAATGAAATGACTGTTAAATTACATCTGCATATGGGGCTTTCAGTATTATCGCAAATAAATGGGTTTAACTCCACTTTAAAACGTATTGTCATTTACAGGAGCGTTATCTTAAGACAAAGCCCACAGTGACGCAAGTAGTATTCATTACAAAAACCATGGGTCATAATCGGGGCGAATCTGGGATTCGAACCTTCTACAACAGTACTAACAAATGATATTATTTATTTCCAGTTCAGTTCGGAACGCCGACCATAAGCTCTTCTGGTTTTGCTGCCATGTTAGTCATCACCATGGTTACCATCATCCAGGCACCAGGATTTTACTCTGCAACAGCCACTGTAGTAGAGTTACCTCCCCCTCCTGCCCACGCCTTGAACAGAGGGATTACAGTGGACGGAATGACCAGTGCAATCAGCGGCATGTTGGGAGGGGTGTGTTCGAGCGTCGTGTACATTCAGAGCCTCGGGGTGGTCACTGCGACAAAGGTAGGCTAGAGATAAGATGTCATGCCACATCACAACGTGTTTCACTGTAGGGGGCAAATTCAACATTAGTTTTGTATTGATCACTTCAGAGGCTAAAATCAAATTTGGTAGTTTCTTCCAATGATTCCAGCTACCGTTATTCCTGGTTTAGTGCACCAAGGGCTGTCACATCCACATGGATGATTGTCTGAGCTCCGATCTACACCAGTGGCTAATGTTTGAAGGACCCATCCAAACCAGTGGCTAACTGTACGAACACCGATACAAACCAGGGGTGGACATTGTGAACATCGATCCATACCATTGTGTTGTCACTCCACTCATCACGGCTTACTGTACACAGACTCAGGACATGCACCTCAACAGTGAGGATCATAATTAGTGGCACCGTTCTTCCATTCTTCCGAGTACATTCACGACCAGGATATATTACAGACCAGGTGTATTTAAATTCTTCATTTGTATAAATCTAGTTCAAAAGATCTTATTATGGGATTCGAAACCATTTCAAGGCTTGTAGTAAGTACAACTGTCAACTGTGCTGCTTTTTAATGTACGCCGTTTTCTAATCAACAGGTTGCGAGTCGTATGGTGTTTGTGTCAGCTGCCTTGATTCTGATGGTAGGAGGAGTTGTAGGCAAGGTGGGGGCGCTGTTCACAATCATCCCTGACCCTGTGGTGGGCGGGGTCAACTTGGTGGCAACGAGCACCGTGACGGCAGTGGGCGTGTCCATGTTGCACACGGTCGATCTGTCTTCCTCCAGGAACCTGCTCATCCTGGGGACATCTGTCACACTGGGGATCCTCCTCCCAGACTGGATGGCCGCCAACGAAGACTCTATCAACACAGGTATTACGATCTCATCCACCCGAGAGGTAGCTGTGTAAGGCATGGTTCTCAGATATCATCACGCCATGTTGTAAGCGTGTTGTTTGATTGTTTGGTGATGTATAAAATGGGCGATGGTTCAAGTGGCAAGCTGTCATGGAATACTTAGCTTTAATCAGGATAATGTATGACAGTAACGTAATAATAACATTGTCACACCGAGACATGATTTCACCCAGAACGAATGTCTGGGTTTCAGGTTCATACTCAGTAAACTGCTCCATTTTTCTGTTGCTGCCCGTCGTGCTGCTGTCAACGGCAATGTTTGTAGATATTTCTTTGAGTTTGAGGCAACGCGGGATTTGATGAAGTGCTGGTGGTGCTGCTGTCAACTGCCATGTTTGTAGATATTTCTTTGTGTTTTAGGCAACGAGGGATTTGATCAAGTGCTGGTGGTGCTGCTGTCAACACCCATGTTTGTAGATATTTCTTTGTGTTTTAGGCAACGAGGGATTTGATCAAGTGCTGGTGGTGCTGCTGTCAACACCCATGTTTGTAGATATTTCTTTGTGTTTTAGGCAACGAGGGATTTGATCAAGTGCTGGTGGTGCTGCTGTCAACACCCATGTTTGTAGATATTTCTTTGTGTTTTAGGCAACGAGGGATTTGATCAAGTGCTGGTGGTGCTGCTGTCAACACCCATGTTTGTAGATATTTCTTTGTGTTTTAGGCAACGAGGGATTTGATCAAGTGCTGGTGGTGCTGCTGTCAACACCCATGTTTGTAGATATTTCTTTGTGTTTTAGGCAACGAGGGATTTGATCAAGTGCTGGTGGCGCTGCTGTCAACACCCATGTTTGTAGATATTTCTTTGTGTTTTAGGCAACGAGGGATTTGATCAAGTGCTGGTGGTGCTGCTGTCAACACCCATGTTTGTAGATATTTCTTTGTGTTTTAGGCAACGAGGGATTTGATCAAGTGCTGGTGGTGCTGCTGTCAACACCCATGTTTGTAGATATTTCTTTGTGTTTTAGGCAACGAGGGATTTGATCAAGTGCTGGTGGTGCTGCTGTCAACACCCATGTTTGTGACCATGTTCCTGGGCTGCATCCTGGACAGTACGGCTCCAGGTATAATCTGTCGAATAACTGAATATCTTTGACGCCGTTGTGAGCATTATTTCAGATAGACATAAATCAATAGTTAAGATATCGCAGATTTGGACCTACTGAAGGTTCCAGGTCAACTCTGTCCGGAAAACATGAACATGTTGTAAAATCAGAGCCTGGCTTCTGGTCATTGCCTGAGTTTACAGTTTTTCACGGTGTAAAGAAGTTGTATTATCCGATATCCACGGACGTTATGAACTCGTCCCGATACTCTTCCCTGATGGTAGGCAATAATCATAGAATACACTAGTTGTAGGTTTCAGAGTCAATAAACATCAGATTCTGCACTTTCTCACACACCGCTTTATTCTGTGATGTATCCAAACAGTCCATGTTTAACCCATACGAAGCGGGTCCAAGCTGAAACTATATAAAACAACAAACTTACTTCCATGTCCTCATGTCCGAAACACAGCCAGCTTGTCTTGTCACAATAAAAATTCACTCCGTAATAATCCAAAAAAACGGTAAATACGGTAATAACATGCACGCATCACAACACGGTGGTAACTCTCAATTAATTCTTGCTTTTAACGAACAATTTATTAAATTACACCCCTTTCATAAATAAATATATCATACATGCATATGCAATGTATTACTTACAAATTTCTTGTCAGAATCAAAGCGTTGACAACAGCCGTACATCAGATTATCACTCACAGCGATGCACACTTACAAATTTCATAAAGGCATGGTTGTCGCAAACATCTGCTGCCATCAAGTGATAATTTCCGTCACTGAATATATATAGTCTTTATTCATTAGGTATTGTAGGCCACAGACTAAGTATAAAATACAGAGTAGACAGTGAGAGAGAAACATTATAATGCAAAAGTATATTTTAGGTGATTTACACAAGACGTAGTTTCATTGCTTTGTAAATGAATACGGATAGATTTTGAATGATTAATACATTATTTGATGCCATTAAAATACATATGTATGGGACCCGTGAAGATTCTGGGGTAGAATAGGTCTTCAGCAACCCATGCTTGCCGTAAAAGGTGACTATGCTTGTCGTAAAAGGCGACTAACGGGATCGGTGCTCATGATGTCAATCACTGGATTGTCTTGTCCAGACTTGATTATTTACAGACCGCCGTCATATAACTGGCATACTGCAGAGTGCGGTGTTAAACAACAAACCAACCAACCAAACAAACAAACAGTACATATGTATGGAGGGGTCACCATGTTGCATTTTACGCCCATTTTTGCGTTTTAGCAGATAATGGAGACCGCCATTCTCTGTCGATGACGTACGATATTTCTTTACTAATGACATGGTTCCATAGATATAATTTATATTATGGGCACATCACACAGGGGCTTGTAACGTAAAACAGTAAGCTACAAGGTGTATTGTGACAACCAGCGTCAGTGCTATGTTCATTCATGTGTCTCCGAAGAATGACGGTATACATTCTGAGCAGGGGTTCGGCTCCGAATCGAAAAATCACATTTTGAGATTCCGCAGATGCCGTTCACAAGGTGCGGTTCAGACTGTTTTCATCTGCCGTATTCGACGTAATAAGCGCTCCGCTATAATAAGAGCCCACGGCGATATTTGCTAATATACTGGCTAGTGAACAGTCCCAATTAGCACCTTATTGATTGATCAATGTACACAAGACTTATGTATTGGTGTATAATACGCACTCGTGTGTTATATGCACCCTTAATTACGGGCAATTAAATTCTGGAAAAATATATCTGTCGTGTATAATACGCACAGACCTTTCGTTTATATCACTTCAGGCTGTCAGCATAAACCACAAATTTTACAATCTTTCGACTCTTTCTAATAAGTTATATTCTAATAAGAGCCCCCTATTTCTAATTTTGAGAGCGTCCTAGGCGCTTATTCCATCGAATACGGTATGTCATTATGTTCCAATTCCCTGCTAAGAATTTGTATTGGAAAATGAGTTAATCTACATTTATTTATCTCAACTTCATCTCGACTCCGGCCTTTTGCATTTGTGTCTCATTATGCAGCTTCTGTTTTTGCATGATATGCGTGTACAGTTTTATAGGGTTATTCACGGTGAACATTCTTGAAGTCGCCCTCGAACGAATGTGGTGTGTTTCATCCCTTTCCTTTATTTAGTACTGGCGCTGGTTGTGACCACATCTTGCAGCGGCTATGTTTTAAGCTATATGTCTCTGTACCACAACAACTGTGTTTACGTCACTAATATTCCATCACTTCTCATAGGAGGAATGAATTCTCACTCAGGCTTTTCCCCTGCAGGTACACATGAGGAGCGTGGCATGGCGAAACCTGATTTAACAGCACCGCGTGACGGTCACGTAACGACTGATGACCCGTACAGGTTGCCTTACGTCTCCACTTTCATGGACAGGCTCAGGTGCTGTTCTTATTTCCCAGTGTCCCCGACATTCGACAAAGAAATCACGTGTAAACAGTGTCACAAGGGAGAAAAGTATGCCATGGAATAAAATTTGAATTGAGTGACGTATAACAATTTTCTTCTTGTTCTTGTTACAGACCGATCATTTGGATATTCTTTTGGGTTTTTAATAAAAATTATGAGCCTGAATTCTTGTTTTTTTAAAAACGCACATCTTGCAACAATGTTATTTTTATAGCAGGTACATTTTTCAACACCTGAAGCATAATTTTGTTTTCAAGAATTATCGGGGACAATTTATATTTTTCGATAAAATTCTAAAGATTTATCCTTAAACTGGCGTCGACAAAACTCGTACTAATCTCAAGTCTTATAAGTATCCAAGTTCGCAACAGCAACATAACCTGCTGGGCAAAAAGAGAGTATACACTTGAAAAGTGGGTTTGACGAAAAGAGTACAAACGTTATTAAATCGTTACAGGGATGAAAACAGTCGCCGAAACACTGCAACCTTTATGTCTAACCCTATCACAAACATAACATTAACATTTACCCTAATACTATATCCTCCAGTGGTCAGAATGTGCTCGGATCTGAGCAGAGATTGTGGAGTTTCAAGTTACAAAATGACACTCCATTAACAGACTCAGTGCTGGTCCTTATGCAGAGGGGCCTTGGGATGGTGTATCTTTGAGACAGATAACGGAGATCATATTACCAAGCAAACACCACTGTGTAACAAAGTACTAAACCTTACCCTAACTCTAGATCCAGATCGACATACTTTGGATACTATTTACAATATGTCTCGGTTCATACAGACAACCGAACACCCAAACCAAATTCGCAACATCCCAGCTGCCTCAGCATTTTGATTTGACTCAGCATCAGTACCAGGAAACACAAGTTAGTGTTATGCCTTTAAGCTATAAGCGGACAGTTTTGTGCCTCGTTCTGTTTATAACGAAGTCATTAATACTTCAAGTTGTGATTTTGTCAATCAAGCAGAAATTGAATCCTGTACAGATACATATTCTTACCGAACTTTTAGGCCCGGTTGTCAATAAAACAAATACAAGTATTTTCTACTATCATATTTGTTGAGGGATTTTTTTAATTAAATAAAGTTAAACATAATAATGGTTGTTTGTGTTTTAAAATATTGATTTACTTTGAGGTGTTTTCATTACTAAGGAATAATCACAAAGAAAATAGCTCAGTTGCGAAACCAAACAATTGAGTTAACTCTTAATTTGTTCAATTTAACATTGGTGAATCGACAAGCTTGTAAATATAAACTAAAATCGACATACCTATTTTTAACATCAATTTAAGGTTTTTAAATGTTAGGAAATTAATATGACATTTATTTACGAAATTGTCATCTGAAAACAATATATTTATCAGTGTAGTTCCAATTTATGCCTCGGGGCAGTCGTCTAAGGCGTCAATTCGCTGTGCAGAGTTGCGTCCCTTGGACATGCCAGAAACATATGGTTGTGGGTTCGAATCCACGTTCGCCCCGATTATGTTTCTAGGTTTGTCAGCACCATACCTGTGCTCATGGGTTTCACCGAAGTGGTAAACGTCTGAGACCTGCATTACTAGTACTTCGGGTTTTCCCCTCACATTAAGCTGACACGCCCTGATATAACTGGAATACTGTTAAAAGCGGGTTACAATATAGTGTTTGTTAACAATTTGATATTCACAGATCCGTTTTGACTAACGTTTTTCTTTTCAATAGGAATCAATGGTCCGTTTTGGCTCTGGTCCAATTTAACACGTATCAATCAGAAAGAATCGCATGGGTGAATCATTGTGGGATATGCAAGATCTGTGTAAGATGTCTGCGAATATTAACTCGTTGAGTTTATGATATATACGCATACTGTAATTTATATACACAAATTTTGAAATGTCTTCCTCATGTCTACCATGAAACGTTTTGAAAGCATTGCTGACGCCGTGAATATTGTAACCTTGATTAAACAACTTTAGAGTCCTATGGCGCTCTTTGGAATCCTCGTAGAAAGGGCATGCTCGAATGTAGATGGACCTGTGGAATATTGTTCGACATGAAGGGAAAGTGGACTACATGTATTGCAAAGTTGAAATCATGCGAGGATGTGAGGATGTTTTGTCACTCTGAATCACTATGCATAGATCTAAATATGAAACAGATGAGGCAGTTTCATTGATTTCTTTTATTTCCAGTTCAGATGGGTAAATCAGTGGAAGGGAATTGGCTTTTTAGCCGTTATTGAATGATATCAAATCATCGCTATACCAGTTAAACGTCTTTGCCAAACTGCCAAATTGGCCATTTTGTTTTGCCAATTCGATTAAAATGCATACAGAAAAAAGAAGGGAGCACAACTGGTGCCCATGTGAATGCCTACTTCTTCTCGAAATGTCCTATCCCCTAATTTTATATATATGTTATCTGTGAGGATGTCCATCATTTCACATATTGATTTAACATGCCAAAAAAGAGACAGTAAATGTTTATTCATAGCAATTAAGGAAAAGGATACGCTAAAAAAGAAGCAGTGAATAATAAGCCTTTGATATTTTCTTAGAGTGTAAGATAGCTAACTGATATTAACTATCAACCCACAATAATTAATGATGAGTCATACTTGTAAGCAAGAGCAATATGTTAGGATGCCCTTTTGTGAAATCATGCTGTAAGTATGGATCAAGCATCTGTCAACAGTTGTTAGTATTTGAATTGTGTGTGCGCGCTCTGACACAGTATGCTGACTCTGAGCGGACCTGTCCTTGTTTCATACTCTCAATAGCGAGCGCCGACGGGACGCCCTCCAGGCAAACGCTCTATCCACTGGACCGCGGAGGCAGTTGAACGACATTCTGCTTTTAAGAGTGTGATTTGAATCAACGCATCACTCAGGTTTAAACTTCTAAAGAAGAAAATTATAAAGATATGTAGTGCATAAAACTAGCCAAAGAAGACCTCAGAAAACAGCCATTTATGTGAGCTGAACTCCAGTTAATAAAATAGCTAATTATCTATTTACAGAACACGAAGTCATATCAAGTGTAGATGATATATTTGCGAGTTTATTTTAATAAACGTGTGTTTTTCCTTTGATGTTGGATTGCACACTCAGTCAGGCATGACGTTATTCCTATACAATACTGGGTTGGCTCACCCGGTCTGGTCATGTGAGCGTTAACAGTATAACAGCATAACAGTGACTGCAGTATTGCGGTGCTGCATCTAGAGATAGAACTGCTGGATAGATCACAGCTGGTATGTATAGCTGATTCTTTTAATGATGATGTACTGTTTACAAATTTGTAAAATATGTACCGTAGTTTAGATTAGCACCCGTGCTGTTACAAACAGAGGAGAGGAGAGGAGAGGAGAGGAGAGGATTTACTAGAGAGTCGTTTCGTAAAAAAATAATACAGTTGGATGTTTAAACAGAGGAGAAGAGATGATCAGTTTCTTAATTGAACAAACAATTAGTTTCTTAGTTGATATGGGTTATGATACCGATGGGTTTAGAGGAGAGTCGTTTCTTAAGAATACATACAGTATGTATTTGATGGTATATATAAAGATTGCAACTTATTTATCTATGTCCAAAATGGCTAATGCACAAGTTCGAGTGACCGTGGTTGATACCGTGCGAGGCGGTCAGCACTTGCGGGTCCCAAGGTCGCAGCCTTCATGGACTACGTCACGACAACGTGGGTGGAAGGACGCCAATTCGGACCTGAGATCTGGAACCATTTCGGTAACCAAGGGCATCGCACTAACAATAACGTCGAGGGGTGGAATCACAAACTCAACAAACTTGCCAGGAAGAGCCATCCGAACATTTTTGAAGTTGTTACGCTATTTCAAAGAGAACAATCCAACGTAGAAGTCGCCATTCAACGAATTGGAGCCCACCGGTCAGCACCACCCAGAAAGAGAAGATACCGGCTGATTGACAACCGTCTTCAGGCTCTCTCGTCAACAACGTCATCGGCGACGTTGAGTACACAGATCACGTTGGTGACCTGATCCACTTGGAGTGAATGACTTGAACACAACGTGTATGCCAGTGCAACCGCAAATTTATTATAGAGTGTATTTATGTATTATGTACATCTATGAAATATTAAAGTATTAGAGTTATTAAATTTGTTAAATGTAAAGTACTTTTGTGCAACTATACTATACTTCAGCATCTAATAAATTACTACTGTAATTACGGTATACGCATTTCTGTGTTTTTCTTGTAATTTGAGAGTCCCGGTATAGCAATATCCCGTGTTTACTGTAGCGTGACCAGTCTTACTGTAGCTTCACGAAAGCGAAGAGATTTTAGAGTTGATTATGGCTAGGTTACGCTGTTCCGGCCCATAACCGTTTACCGCCCATCGTCGCGCAACATAGGGGGGAATTGTTCATGATATGTCAAGCACCGAGCTCAATTCTCCTTTCGGATTTTACCTTGCGTTCGGTAATTGGTAACTCAAGCATGAAAACATTTTCAATGCGTTCGGTACATTGGGACTAGAGCATGAAAACGTAAGGTTAATTACAAAAATTCCATCAACAAAGTAAGCGAGACTGTGCATCTGATCTCGTTCGTCGTCTCTTACTTCCTTAGTGTGCTGACTACACAAAAATTCCGGTATATAAATTGGATATATGTTATTGGAAAATGTTGGTGGCCTGATGTTCGACAAACGGTGCGTCAAAACGCAGCCATTGTCGATTTGCATCTTAAACGGCATTGTTTTCACACTTGTTCAAGCATGTCATGGAGGAAAACAGTAAAGCAACATGCACGTGCAAGTTATGACATTCGTAACTCGTGGTAGTGGCAATGAAAAGTCAACATTTTTTAAGTTCGAAAATGTCGAAACTCAGCGCTGCCGATCGGAACATTGCCATAGGATGTATCCAAAGAGGGGAATCGCAGTCTTCTGTTGCACGCCACTTCAACGTCCACCACAGCACCATTTCACCGTCCGAGAACCGTTCTAACCCCTGGACAGGATTGTTACTTTCGACTGTTCAACCCACGTCATCACAATACTACAGCTACGCAGACTGCAGGACCCATCACTGGTTTGAGGAGGATATCGGTCCAGACTGTCAGGAACAATCTTTGCGAGGCTGGAATCCAACCCAGAAGATCAGTTATCGTCCCTGTTTTGCAACCAATCCATAGACAGCGACGCTTGCGTTGGTGCCTGGTTTAGCGATGAATCACAATTTCTTCTTCACCGGCGAGATGGAAGACAACGTGTTTATCATCGTCAAAATGAGCGTTTTGTCCCACATTGTGTACGTGAATTCGACAATTTCGGTGGCAGTAGTGTCATGGTGTGGGGGACAATATCCTACACCACGATATCTGTCTTGGTTGTGGTTCAGGGAAATTTGACAGAAAATCACTACCTTTATAATACCAACATCAACGTCTTGCCATGGCCGTCGAGATCTGCAAATCTCACCCAAATCGAACACCTCTGGGATGAACTCGATCGACGAGTACGTCAACGTCAGAACACGCCGCAGACACTCCCACAACTGGCCAACGCGTTACAAGCAGAATGGCGCAGAATTCCGCCGGACAGAAATCGTTCACTTATCCAGTCAATGACGAGGAGATGCAGAGCCGTGATTGCTACCCGGGGCAGTCACACGTAAAACTGAGTTCAGCGCAACCTTGTGGCCTTATTTGACATGACAATGAACAGTTTTTAATGCTTTTGTACAACGACATTATATGACTATAGAGCTCCAAATTTTCATATTTGTATCTATGATATTAAGTTATATATATCGACTTTATTACAATAAAGGAAGAGTGTATTTTTGAAGAGTGTATATTATCTCTCTATATATATTATCCATATTAAATCTATCGTCGCTTACTGAACATAGCAGGGCAGATTTTGCAATGCAAACGATATGGTTTCGGTTTACCAAAATACTGGTAAGTTTGCCTGTACAAGATATGCGTTAAAATAAGGTAGAGTAAAGCTACATGTAGTAAGAAGATTGAGCCTCTGGTCGTTACATATAGGGCATTAAAGTAAAACATAAACGCGCTGGTAGTGGGATAAGGGGAGGTGTTTGTTTCTTTTAGATAACAATGAAAGAAGATATGACTTTTTCGGGTGTAAATACATGTACGTACGTTGTATGACTCCTTTGCATATTGTCATAAGTTTTGATGCAATAGATCATTGCAAAGCACTGCATGTTACTATGAATATTATGTATACCTTCGAAACAGAAACATGGGCAACTCCTCTGTCAACTCATTCTATAATTAACGTTGTTCAGATTGTCAGGTACTCCCCAAATGGGAGCGATTGTTCATAGTGTCATGTTAGGCCAACCGATGGTTGCGTCGATCATTGGGTCAGCCAAATATGCCTGGTTACCAAAGCATAGTAGCTTATACGCCAGGACGTTGACTTAATTTGAGTTAACATGTGGTACTACACTATAAGGGTAACGCTATTTTCAGGGCATTATCATTCGCAGAAGGAGGGCTTCTGCAAATGATAAGGCCCTGAAAAATAGCTTTACCGTTATTATAGCTAAAATGGATAGAATTTGTTATCAAATAAAAAAATTAACAATATCGGTTTTGAAACATTAACTGCAATCAACACACAACGAAGTCACCGACCCACTTTTACAAATATGGAAACGTCATACAACAAACAAGATAACATCACTATTGAACATCAATATGACGTCACCTACCAACGGGCGTGATACTGGCCCGTCGTCATGCAATATGAGGGCATTATCAAGTTACAGATGCCCGCTCATTTCTGAAAACATGCGGACGGTTTCATGATAATTCTATCAATTTTAGCTATAAATATTATTAAACACATGTGTGAAATCACTTTATTGTTTAAACGACCCATTATTGTTCACGAATGATTTATAGGTTGTCAGTTAGGTACACACGGAATAAACGGAAACATTCTAAGACACTAAAACGTATGAGCTTAAACGTTTGTCCTCCTTATACTATTTATGATATACTGTATGAAACATTCACAGTGACCTCTATGTACAGATAAATGATTGTATGTTGAATAATACTCTGTGTGTAAGGCACACCTGTACAGACAAATGAATAAATGCCAATACCTGTCACAGGTGAGTCACAACGCTCGTGTCTCTCGTCACAAAAGGCTCTTCAGTATGTCAAACTGCCGAGATTCCACGAGAGGCCTGGAATGGAAGGTTGCTGATGCCATCGCATACCAACAGAATGCCGGGGCATTTCGAAGTGGAATCACCACGGATGAGGCCATTGAATATTACTCTCAATACTGTCATCAGTATGAAGAGGTGAGGCATAACATGTGATACTCCCTATATTTATATAACACCTCTGTGACCTAACTCTATCATTTAAACGACCCTTTATGTTTCGGGAATGGAAAGTTGGTTGTCAATTATTTACACTTTTACACTGAAGTGAAGGCTTTCAAATTTTGACATGTGTCGGCACTGGGGCTTCAAACTGCATCCAACTATTTGAGAACGCGTTAAAGTCGACCTTGGCTGCGGCGACACGCGACAGAAATAAGTGTATAAACCTTAAAAGCTCAGTACATACTGTGTATGATGATATGTCACATAATGAACGATGTTCATATTAGATAATCCTAGACAAGAACTAATAGAATAGGAGCAGCACACATGGCCTTGTTCATGGCTCTACTATTATCCTTGCTAGCATGTACGAGCCCCACGAAGATCCACATTGTTTTATCCACTTACTGTCGAGCGCCAGGCAGAGTAATAACAATTACCATATCTTCCCTTTGTTGGGATGACGCGGCCAAGCGATCGAACCACCGACCTTCCGCTCTCTGGGAAGATTGTCTATCCACAATACCGCAGACCCGGTTATGTTTCGGCTGGATGAGTAAAACCAATGTCAAAGTAACAAAAAAGGTTGAATATCGTACGTCCTTTTTGCTCTGACTGCATGGGAATGGACCACCGTGTTTGTGTTCTGAGCCATGAAAACATATGGTCCTTGATCAATACTCATGCCGGAAGGATAACAGTGATGTATTGTTATAACATATATGAAAAATATTGTTATTGTAGACCAACCATTGATAACCATTAACATTTACGAAAATTTGAGGAATGTTTTTATTATTGAAAGGGCGTTTAGTTTATTACTAGTGTATCGCATTGTCATGGATTTGGTGCTGAAAAAACAAGGACCATCACGAGGACGAATCGGCCTACACCGTGGTCATATATGCGTCGAATTTCGGAATGACTTCCACATGCCTACTAAAAGTCTTCCTAAGAGTCTTTCTGAGGCCTTGAATGAGTGAGTTAGTTGGGTTTAACGCCGCTTTTAACAGTATTCCAGTTTTATCACGGCGTGTCAGCTTAATGTGGGAGGAAAGCCCGAAGTGATGCAGATCTCAGACGTTTACCACTTCGGTGAAACCCACGAGCACAGGTATGGTGCTGACAAACCTAGAAGCATAATCGGGGCGAACCGGGATTCGAACCCACAATCATAGGTTTCTGGCGTGCCCAAGGGACGCAACTCTGCACAGCGAATCGCGGCGCCTTAGACGACTGGGCCACCCGTGCCCCCCTCTGAGGCCTTGAATGTTGAAACATTTCTAAAAAAAATATTCTTGAGCAAGAATCGTATGGTGCTCTTTTGCAACCCTCGTAGACATTACATGTTCAGAGAAATGTGAAATGTATCTAGGCTGGAACTGCTGGGACATTGCTGAACATAAAGGGAAAGTTGACTATTGGATGCCACTGAATCGTTATGCATAAATCTAATATGATCTTTTTTATTTTACACTCAAGTTGGTAAATCACTCACCAATTCCCACAGATTCACTCTCATAAATACAACTACACACCTACTCACTGACTTGTTTCTCATTGACGTGAAGTCTCTCCGCCCAGGGCGGTACAACGGTCCCCGGATAGCTGCTGATGCTGTGGCCCGATACTACCCCCGGGACAGGGAGCAGAAGAAGATCATTGACATCGCTGCAGGGACGGGATTTGTGGCTGAGAATGTAAGTATTGACATGGCGTTGGTACTGGTCAGGCACCGATGTATTTTGACTTGATGTATTATGGCAATTTCCAAATTTCCTGTTTTACTATATGTCCTTTTTATTTTCAATAGTCGTGCGTCGCCAGCACGTGAGTTTTTGTAGTTTTACACACACACACACACACACACACACACACACACACACACACACCAAATAAACCGTGCCTGAATGCGAGTTTGATAATGAGAAGAGAACCTTTTAACAAGTGAGGTGAGGTGAAATGGGGTTTAACGTCGCGCACAAGATTCTTGGATTTAAATAGCGACGTGTGTGCACGTGTGTGTGTGTGTGTGTGTGTGTGTGTGTGTGTGTGTGTGTGTGTGCGTGCGTGCGTGTGTGTGTGTGACTGCTTGTACTTGTCCAGACTAATGTCGATTTAATGGTGCTAGCCAACTGAGAAACCATCCCGCAATTTAACATGAATACTCGACTCTGACTCAGTATACTGACTCCGAGCAGACCAGCCCTTGTTTCAGCTCCTTAATGCCGAGCGCCAGGCAGGGTAATAACAAGAACCATCTATTAACATCTTTTGGTATGAACCCTTGACCTTTCGCTCTCCGGGCAGGTACTGTATCCACTAGACCACGGAGGCAGTCTGTTTACAAGTGAATGTTTCACAAGTGCAAACGTACAGGCTCCATTTGGCTATAAAAAGAAAACATATGTCTACAAATTTGTTGTGTGGCTTTTCAAATTGGAACGAACTTAACTATGCCACGACTTGACTCTGCAACACGCAATATCGCCACAGGCCGACTTCAAGCTGGAGAATCTCATGATCAGTCAGCACATTGCATACATGCACTCACGCATGCATACATATACGAATGAGGGTCGCGTGCCATCGAACATTAACTAGATGCTTTGATAAATATATTTAATTAAACATACTAACTTGTGCGCTGTTATTGTAGATACATCAATAATCATAAAATGCAACGTTTGTAAATACACCTATTCTTAAATAAATACACGTGTGTTACAATAATTAATGCGAATCCCATCCTGTTACCATTATTGTAAATAGTTATATCCTTGCAAAAAGTAGACACTAGTAGATCTGGTACAAGTGGGTTACACAGACACATCCCTTTACATATTCATAGGAAGTCAGTTGTACGAGTTTGACTGAATCATGAGCATGTGTTTAAGAATCACTATCAACTAATGATGACAAACAGGTGTTCGCGAAACGGTGAGCGTATCCTGCCCAACCATTGCATCGGATGTCATTTTTGTCAAGTTTGGAAATGTCCTCCACATGTTTACCATACAACCTTTAAAAGATTTACTGAGGCCTTGATGAAACAACTTCTGATCCAGAGTCTTATGACAATCTTTGAAATCTTGTTACAAAGAGCATGCTCGATTGCACATCCAAAGTAGTTAAATGTAAAAACCAAATGTGTTCTAAAATGTGGCATTAGATATCGCCGCCCAGAAAGTAAGGAACATACATGTACTCCGAATTTAAAATGTGGGTTGGGTAAGATAAACGTTTTTGTTAAAGATTGAGAATGCAAATGCCGAAAACGATCAAACGAATTTTTTCTCGCCATTAAATCAATTTTTGGGTTTGCCATACAGAGATTTATACCACGATAGTGAAAAGGTTAAAATACTTTCAACAAAAAAGGTAGAATAATGTTAAATTATCTCAATTTACGCATGAAATATAATATTTGGTGAAAAATCTGTGTTACCAGTCCACTTAAGCGGATTGTCCATGATTGTGCCAAAACACTTGTATTTAATGATAATTTCCATATTTTCACTATTTATCTGTGCTGGTGCAATATCACTTTTGTTGCTTCTGAAGTCACCAGTAGTAAATTCTTTTGTTATATGCAGATTACATGAAGTAATTGTCTTTACGTCAAGTTTTGTACAAACTTTTACACTACGTAATACATGTTCGGGTTGACTCAAAAGAATCTCAGTTTCACCCCCTTCACACCCATCCCACTGTGATACTCCATCTCTAGCCAACGTGAAAATACTTTATTCCACTGGTCAGTCACCAGTAGCAGCTAACCACAAACACTTCTCCCCAGCAACTCTACCTTCTACTACAAGTCTACTCAAATCAATTCCTACAGTAGTTGCCGATACATCTTCTCCTTCTGGGGAGTTTCGGCCATGCAAATGGCATATGCCATACCGGATCTTGTGTCAAAGACATTTCCTGACGTCACTGATACAGTTGCTATAGCAGCGTGAAGAACAGAACGCTACAGGAGAGCGCTGAATCCAGGGGTGAGGCAAAAGTTATTTGGAGCTGCAGATGACATAACTTTTGAAAACATAGTAAAGAAGGCAGCGCAGATCGTCAACAACTTACACTGATATTGTGAATGTCCACTTTGATATACACTGAAGCAATGGGTACCAGGTCGGGTGTTATCGTGTTTCAGTTGACGGCCCACGGCTTTAGGCACATCGACGCCCTGGAACCATCGACCAGTATGCTTGTCAGGGCTAAAGAGAAGAGCCTGTACGAAACGCTCTACGAAAACATGTTGACAGAAGAACATTTACCTATAGCAGCTGGTAGGTAGACGCGTATATATGTAACTATACTATATCAACTATTGAAATTATCATCTTGTTCATCTGAATTTAAGTAACCATTATTATACTATTTTGCGGAATGTTCTAAATTGACTTTGCTGAATTGATTTGCTAACTGTATTTTATTTTCATGCCGACAGATACGTACGACTGTGCAGTTGTTTGTGGTGGATTTGGGGAAGGACATATTCCTTGTTCTGGATTAAAGGAACTTCTCCGGATCACAAAACCAGGTAACAACCACAAAATGGCCTTAAAAAAGATATACCCATGTGAAAAACATACATATATTGACTAACATTGACGCATTCTAATATCAAATACAAGTATCAAACTATGTCAAGGATACTAGTCATCTCACATTTGCCACTGAAGAACATGCATTTACTTTTACAGGCGGAGTGATATGCAATGTGATGAGAGAAGAATATTTGGTGAACGTGGAGGAATACAGAGAATGTCTTGAGCCACTGATGAACTCATTAGAAAAAGCAGGAAAGTGGACACTTGTGTCACGTGACGTCGTTCCAAACTATTTCATTGACCTTCCGGGGATTGTATTCATGTACAAAGTTAACTGACCTCTGCAGACCGATCCACTTACATCCATATGGGACATCATAGTCAGTAGTAACCTATCTGTTCCAAGGAAAATATATCAGAATGATACCGATTATGACGTCAAGAGGACAAACATTTTCAGTGATACCTCTACTTGTTCAGACAAAAATATATAAGTGTTTTTTGATACAACTCGAAGATAAATTCATAGTGACGATATAGATTCTTCAATTGTATGGTTACAACAAAATGTTATTTGAAACTGAATTCGTAATTGAGAGGGGAGAATATTATGCTAATTATTTCTAACTTTGTAGTTAATCGGTGGTAGTCTTTTTAATGTCCAAAATATGTTATCATATTTTATCATAATAAAATATAATCAAAATTCGTTTAGCAATTATTTGGATGATTGTACAAATGGACAAAATCGACGTTGGCTGTGGTGATGTTTGGTTGAAATGATTGAATTCGATAGTCTGTCCCAATCCCCACGTGTCTAATGAAAACTCCAAGAATATCAGAGCTCTACAGTTAAGAGAGAGCTTGAAAATCACTTTCGTCACAACCAGAAGAACTTACATTTGTACAAGTTACCTTCAATAATTATTGCATCTTGTAAGCTTTACTAACACATACATCGGCATATTTCCAAATTTACAAAACAACGTGTTAAGTTACACATTCGTATGTAAATATTCATGACAAACGTTTATAAACTGGATCAACATAAAAATTCAAAATAGACATATGTTCCCTTTTTGGTCATATCAGTCATGTACGGGGTCTGATCGACATCACATCTGCGAGTAGTATGGTATCATTTCGTAATTGACAGCATAAAAATCGAAAGTGCTCCTTTTAACAGAGATTTCTTAAGAACATTTTATTTATTCTTAAGGCTAAGTCCAAAACACCATTGGAACGAAAAACATTGTGAATCGTATCTACCCGTTTCCTATGATATTTACATGGTGAAGCGATAGTAGCAAATGTAAGGTGTGTATAGGCGAAACCGCTTAACAAACTTGATAACTAAAATTTGGGGTTAAGACATTTAGGCAAGAAGGGGGCATCCTCATTAGCATCAACTGTGCTCCCCTTCAAACTGATCTGTTTCTATGTGCATATGAAGTCCAAGAAGTCCAAACAATGCAATGTGGCCAAGAAACTCAAATTAGGCTTCTGGTACATCTATGATCTGATATCGTTCCACAAAGGCATATAACCGATTCCCTTCCATTGATTTACCAACCTGAGCTAGAAACAAGAGACCAGTGATACCGCCTCATCTATTCCAATTTAGATTCATGCATACAAATTCAGAGTGACCACAAAATCCCCACAAGACTGTATGACAAGAGGGATGACTTTCCAATAGTCAACGTTCCCTTTATGTCGAGCAATATTTCAGTATTTCCGGCCCTTGGTGTCCGCATGTCACAACTTTTGAGATACAATCGAACATGCTCCACGAAGATTTCAAAGATACAGCTACAGCTTAAAAGTTTGGTGATCAAGGTTACAACATTCAGGGTCTCAGTAAAGCTTTGACAAGTTTTATGGTAGACATGTTCAGGTTAGCAGTTGACTTGACTTGTATTTGTTTGTGATGGTTGTCACCGCCCGGGCAGGATGTGCTCCTCTTTTCGCGAACACCAGATATCATAAAACGTCAACACCAAAGAATAATCAGTCGATTAACTGACGAAACAGATTCCACTGGGCGAAATAGTGGTGAAAATTATATTAATGGATCGCTGAAAAACGATTACAAAGAAAATTTACGCTCTCTCGTGATGATTATATAACTGACAGCATGAGATATTGACGTGCTTTATTGTCACATTTGCTTTGGTTTGATATTTTTGTTGTAGTAGGAACATCACGCAACACGTGTCTGCCTACAATTTTCGTTGGATGTGTCACTCTTTATAGTGAGTGAGTTTGGTTTTACGCCGCTTTTAGCAATATTCCAGCAGTATCACGACGGGGGACACCAGAAATGGGCTTCACACATTGTACCCATGTCGGGAATAGAACCCGGGTCTTCGGCGTGACGAGCGAACGCTTTAACAACTAGGCTACCCGACCGCCCCTCACTCTTTATTAATCGCCTTCAATATGGTTAGCGATAATGACTGGGACGGCGATGAAGATATTTCCAATGTGTTTGACTTTGTACAAAAATGTCTGCTGATGCAGAATTTGCGGAAAATTCCATAACAATGGTATTCATAAATCGCAAGCATAGAAATTGACCCTTAAAAATTAAAGTTCAGTAACTTTGTTCATATGACTACTGACATCCGTCCCACGTCTCAGCCAGGTGACCTAGTAATAAACAGGTGTCTGTGTCACTTTCAAAACGGTGACTTTGCTTCAAATATGTGTCCCATCGGCCCTGCAACAATAAAACTTGATGTTTTAGTTGTAGATCATTTAAGCTTGTTTAAACGCAATATGAAAAAGTTCAATTCGCCATCAAAACGTGTGTGTTGGTTCAGGTATTTATAATATATATGGATTTATTACGATATCTACGTATATGTATTTTGAACAGCACTGTATCTGCAAGGCTCCACCTCCACAGACACATGAATATATGCCATTACCTGTCCTAAGTAGAGGCAGACTTTGGAAGGATATTACAAAAAGAACATGAGCGAAATAAAAGAAAACTTGTTCTGATAGTAACCAATCACAGTATGATGTTGGCATGTAATGAAATGAACGGTCAGGTGAAACGTGTTAAGCGCTATGTAGGTGAGATGCTGCTTATGCGATTTATCTGAACTGTCTCGTAATGAATGAAATGTGAAAACAGAAACGCCGATATCGAAAAGTATATTAGCTTAGCTAACCTTGGCTACGGCATTTATCCACGTGGTGGCTGATAATACATCATGCTTGTCAAATGCTAAATTAGGTTCAGGCGGCGCTGCGCGTCATCGTACCTGGCGATGTTGATTGTTGATGATTCCTGTTCCAGACCTTTCCCTGGGTGCAGTGACATAGGTGGAATCTTACAGATTGCGGCATCGAAATACAACCATAAAATATTATCGACGATGATACTTGAAAACTCGCTGTTATAAGGGCATCCTTACGGTTTTCTTTGTTACTCATCTCCCGCCGCATGCAACTGTCAAAAGAATTGTCCTCAGTCCATCTGTATTTGTATGCCGCTACTTTCAAGAAGTATGAAATTAAACGTGTTTTGAAAACCACGGCCTATACGCAAACTGTATTTGTAACTGTAAGTGCACTGTTGAAACTTTGAATGGAAGCGACTCTTGGCTACTTTTAGTTCTGTGCAACGACATAGAATTCTCTTCCACTATAGTTCACATACATTTCGGGGAACTCTGCTGATATTTGAGAAAGCACAAGCATGAAAACGTGCGAGAATGGAAATCACACAGACGGACCTCTCTGTCATTTGTAAAGTTCGGGGTTGGTGCAACGTTGCTCGTTCAAGTAGACATAACTTACTATCACATTTGAAAACCTCCTGACAAATACATTCAGTGATTCTCTCTGCAATAAGAGCGTAAGAGTGACTTTGAGCCACCATAGCCTGTCCAAGCTTCCCATTATCAACCAATACGCCTGGGTTGCTTGCAATAACCACATTTGGTTGCACTTACTGTGATTCAATGTTTTTGTACATATACTTTGTCTTTTCATACTTCACACAAATGTAAATACAGTAAACTACGGTTATAACGAACTCAAAGGGACTACTAATTTTAGTTCGTTATAACCGTAGTTCGTTATATGTACTTATACAGCATGACTACAGCAAGTAGTCGGGACCAAAAAGTAAGTTCGTTATATCCGTCAGTTCGTTATAAGCGTATTCGTTATAACCGTAGTTTACTGTAAAACCGTTAAGGTAGCCAAAACTGACCGGGCAGTTACCACTAATAAAAAGTGCACCAGTGCGTACTTTTACAAGACGATTCAAGACATCCTGTTTCATATATATTTATATGTTGCAGAAAACTCTGTTTAATAAGTGTTTATAATAGTAAATAGTTCTGGAATTATTTGCGTAGCATCTGTTGTTGTCCTATTAACACTCAGCAGTGAAAATCGAAAAAAATACCGTTTGATATTAATATTCTTTTAATATTGTAGGAATTTATTGTATGAATGTTTTTAATATATAAAATCTGTTTTACTTATGGAAGGATATTTTACATTTATTTGTTGTAAAAATTAAACATAAGTGAATTAGGGAAATCATGTCAATCTGCCATTCGAATTTATTATATAGAAAAATATTTAATAAACTATCTAAAATGTTTATCCCTTGTTCGTAATTTGCAGTATAGTATCATGTTCCATTTTGCTGGAGACAGCATGTTAGAGGACATATATTTTGCTTTATTAATAAAGTGATTTAGAACTGATTCGAATCCGTGTTTTATCCAGCATTAATAACTTGAAATAGGTCAATAGTGAGAATGTTTTTGTGACTTTTTTAAATCAAAATGAACTTTGTTATTAGATCCTTTTCTACAATGCTTTTTAAATTTGAATTTGTGTTCAACGTGTTTTCAATTGTCGATCAAACACATGTTTGAATATTGTCAAATATTTGGTTTACATCGTCAAAGCCTTTAGACTGCATGTTTACCTTATTTTGACATTGAAAGGTTTGACCTCTTTGAATAGGTATTTTGCAATAAGGAACTCCCTTTTCACCTAATGTTCCTTTTTCCTACCGCCCACCCACCTCTGGGAAACCCTAGGAGATGATAAACACAAAAGCAAGGAAATGATTAAGTTCCTTCCCCTGTAAGTTTTAACACCCCTTTAGTCAGTGACACGTACTTGAATAAATCGCTTGGTGACTTGACATCGCTGTGTTGCCTTTTACGCTCAATGGAATCTGTTGGTTTGTTCTTTAACGCCGCACGCAGCAATATTCCAGCTATGTTCCGGCCGTCTGTAAAGAATCCAGTGATTGAGCATCGATCCACGCTATAGTGATACGATTACATGCATCAACCAAGTCAGCGAGCCTTACCACCCGATCCCGATAGTCACCTCTTACGACAAACATAGTCGCCATTTACAACAAGCATGGGTTGCTGAAGACCTATTCTACCCCGGATCTTCACGGGCACAATGGAATCTGTTTCAGCAGATAATCGAGACTGATTATCCTCTGGCGTTGACGTGTGCCACTTTTGTAAAAAACGTGAGGATGGCTGTGGTGCCGACAAAGCTGTAAATGTAACCAGGACATGCCTGATGAACGCAACGCTTCACTGTGATGATCATAATGATATATACTACACCTCCATCTCATCACACAAATGTATCGAATATGCCCGAAAATAATATCCGTGAAAAAAATATATTTGTCTTACACCACGTGATGAAAATCACGTGATATGTATACTTCAATTTGTAAACAAAAACGATTAACGTCGGTAACTTCTGCTTTCCGGTATCCTAAATGTCAACACTCAATAAAGGACCAAAGTAGTAACGTAGAATGACCCAGTTACAAATTATATATTTTGACATTTGCATCGTTCTAATTCTCTTGGTAAAACTGTTCATAGTGTTATTTAAAACGACAGGCTATGTGACTCTACACTGTAGGCCCAGTGTAGATCAAGATGATATTAGGTCCATAATACGTTTCTAAAACTTAAAGTACATCACACACAAAAACACGTCACAGTTTTGGATTCCGTGGTGAGAGTAGCTATCGTGTCATGCCATTAACAACTACTTTAGGGCAAAAAACGACATCTGAAAATAGGGCCTAGTGTACATCGAATATATTGACATTTTCGTACTTCACCACTTCCCCGTTCTAAATGTAATTCTTTATGCAAATAACAGACACAGCAAAAGATCCGGAAGATCTAGATAGCTACATGAGACATTCAATTCCAAAACTATCGGGTGTCTGATCTTTGTCCAAACACCAAAGATCATTCCGAAAAGACTCCAATAACCCTATTTTTGTTTTTAAAACGTAGAAACTCTGAACCGAACCTCCATGTTGGATAGCGTTGCACAATCACGATTCTTTTCGCCTCAATCGAAATGCCTGTCACATCACCTATATTTCAAACTGAGCGACGAAACAGACATCCCTGAATTTATCATAACATTAACAATCAATTGACCAGTTGGCTGGGTCACTAATACCAACGGTCGAAATGAAATCCACCGAAACATTCGTGTGAAACCAAACCTTGTGCTCTGGCACCTACCAGTGGACCTCTCATTTCAAAAGCAAACTTCTAGTTTAACATGTTAACATTTCCTTCTACTCCGAGAGATTCAGTCGTCAATTTGTTGCATACATTAGCTCAGATTATTGGGAATACGCATGTGTCGAAAATCGTTGAAAGAATTGAGGAATTAATAATTAGATACTTATTTGGATAAGTGACGCCATTACAGACGCATAATCACGCACACTGTCGACGGTATTGGTCTGCCTTAGTATCAAGGATATAATGGAAACATAAAAACAAATAGAACCTGTTGATTTCAGATTGATTCTGATCCTTACTTAACTTGCATGACTCATTTATGTATAGATATTAGCACAATTTAGAGTTCAGCACAATTTAGATGCAGTTCTCATAGACTTAGGATCGAAGTAGGCAGACATAGAAACAGCCAGAGAATTGAGAATATGTGAGCAATGTGGTTTAAATGTGATTGAAGATGAGCTTCATTTTCTGTTACTTTGTCCAAAATATGACCGCCTTTTTATGTAATCCCACTCAACAAAAACTTATATCGATCATGTCAACAACTGATAAAGATACTCTAAAAAATCTATCAATGTTCATTTATCATGCTATGTTAATTAGAATATGACCTTTTAAACGGATCTGTAACCACTCCCGAAAACAGAATTTACTTTCGGTATGGAATAAAACGTATCCTTATCCTTATAGATATGCGATCCCTGCATTCTAAATTCTGATCTCATGGAAAAACGAACTGATATTGCCAGAGAAAATTTAGTGCTTATTGAATAGTATTTCGTCAAATAAAAAAAAAGATTAGTTACAGGTGATGAAACATGGGTCTACCACTATGATCCAGAGTCAAAACGTCAATCCATTGAATGTGATCATTCCACCTATATTTCAAACTGAGCACCAAAGAAATTCAAGTCGTCAAAATCAGTGAAGAAAGTTATGGCCTCTGTTTTCTGAGATGCAAAGGATGTGATCCTTGTTGATCACTTAGAAAGTCAAAAGACGATTACCGGTGCCTACTATGCTCAATTGCTTCATCGCCTGAGAGATTCTATCAAAGGAAAGAAGCGAGGAATGCTGACTACTGGAGTTCTACTTTTTCATGACAATGCCTCTTCTCAAACCTTTTGACTAGCAAAGGCTGCTCTGCGACAATGTGGGATCGAAGAGCTTCCTCACCCTCCATACTCGCCAGACTTGGCAACAACTGATTTCCCCCTATTTCCCAAAGAACACCTTCGCGGAAAGCGCTATGACGACAACGATGACCTCAAAGCTGCCATGAATGTTGTTTTTTTCAGAAAACATCTTCCTGAATTGAAAAGCTTCACTATCGATAAGAGAAATGCATTGAAACACAGGGAGATTATGTTGAAAACTTAAGCTAAAAACACTTTCATAATTTTTGGTTTGGTTTGTTAGACTTAGAACATTTTGACCAGGTCTCGTACACCATAGTTCCTAAACCACTGGCAGGGGCGGTCGGGTAGCCTAGTGGTTAAAGCGTTCGCTCGTCACGCCGAAGACCCGGGTTTCGATTCCCGACATGGGTACAATGTGTGAAGCCCATTTCTGGTGTCCCCCGCCGTGATATTGCTGGAATATTGCTAAAAGCGGCGTAAAACACTCACTCACTCACTCACACTCCTTAACCACTGGCACGTATGGGTCTATTATTGGGCAGAGCCACAAACAATTTTAATTGCGAATCAAAACGTTTCTCCTGGCTCAACGATTATTCATATGATGTATGAGACATTCACAACGACCTTTGATTTAAAGGAAATATGTATTTTTAATTGCTCTGTGTGTGTCAGGCACCACCTGCACAGACAAATGAATAAATGCAAATACCTCTCACAGATGAGTCACAACGCTCGTCTCTCTCGTTCGAAAGTACTCGTCAGTATGTCAAATTGCCGAGAACCCAGAGGGGGTTTTGAATGGAAGGATACTGATGCCAACGCATACCAACAGAATGCCGGGGCATTTCGAAGAGGAATCACCACGGATGAGGCCATGGAATATTACTCTCAATACTGCCATCAGTATGAAGAGGTGAGGCATAATGATAACATGTGATACTCCGTATCCAATTCTAACCCGGGAACTTTCTAGGATAACAATAAAAATAGAGACATTGACAAGGCCATTTATACTTCAACTATTCTTTTAATTCTTCCCTTAAAAAGGGTTTTAAATTTACTTTAAAATGAAATGGAACACAACAGCATAGATTGTATTACTGAGCTTTTAAGGATTGTACACATATATTCATTTCTAGTATCGTCTAGAACGCGTTCTGAAAATGTTGGATGCGGTACGAATCCCACTGGCGTTACATGTGTGACAAAAAGGTATTCCCGTCATTTCCAAGTGTAAATCATTGACAAACAAGTGTCCGTTCCTGAAACACAATGACTCGTTTTAGTCTTCATCAACTCATGGTTGTCATAAGAGGTGACTACCGGGATATAGTGGTAAGGCTCACTAACTTGGTTGGTGCATGTCGCCGTATCCCAGTTGTGTCAATGGATTGTCAGCAGCTGGTCCAGACTCGATTACTTACAGACCGCCGTCATAGAACTTATATATTGCTGTGGCGACACAGATGGCCCAGACGCCTGAGTCGCCACAAATCACTGTGAAGCGTTGCGTTCATCAGGCATGTCCTGGTTACATTTACAGCTTTGTCGGCACCACAGCCATCCTCACGTTTTTTACAAAAGTGGCACACGTCAACGCCAGAGAATAATCAGTCTCGATTATCTGCTGAAACAGATTCCATTGTGCCCGTGAACATCCGGGTTAGAACAGGTCTTCAGCAACCCATGCTTGTCGTAAATGGCGACTATGCTTGTCGTAAGAGGTGACTATCGGGATCGGGTGGTAAGGCTCGCTGACTTGGTTGATGCATGTCACCGTATCCCAATGGTGTCACTGGATTGTCAGCAGCTGATCCAGACCCGATTACTTACAAACCGCCGCCATAGAACTGAAATATTGCCGCGTGTGGCGTTAAACAAGAAAGAGACACAGCATGTACTAACACGTACAAGCGATGGATAATATATTATTTAGGAACCCATAAAATAGCAAAAGGCCTTTACCATATACATGCGTTGCAAAATTCAATTTGTGATGGAGTTCGCGTCATGATCATTAACACATTTCTCGTGCAGCACATAAGGGCGACTCATACAGTATAAGTACACAGTACAAAGAGTACTATATATTTTTCAAGTACTTTCCACAATAGAATTTTTGATTAAACTCTTAAAGTGGGGATTTATTAAGTTTAAAAAAGTACGAATGTATTTTAAGTTTCGAGGATATACCCTTAGTTGTCTGATTAGGAATCACCTCGTCGCTGTGGGTCTGGGCGATTCTGTTTCACGAAACAACATTACTGATATGTTCTCTCCTTCAGAAGAACTATCTCTCTTTCTTCAGCTTATTATTGTCGTTATTATCCCCCGCCAAACAAAGTTGGCGGGGGATATACAAACGGGCTCCGTCCGTCCGTCCGTCCGTCCGTCACGTTTCGTTTCCGGAGCATAACTCATAAACCGTTCAATATTTTTTCATCAAACTTTGCAGGTCTGTCAGGTACATGCTGAACTGGTGCCTTTTGCTATTTAGAAATTTTAGAATTTTTTATTTTTTACGTTTCCATGGCAACAAGATGAGTAGTATAGTGTCACCAGGCAGGAGCTGGTTTTGGTGGAGGGAGCCTGAAAGGGTCCCCCAGCCTATCGGAGCGAGCGCAAGGGACTGCGCGTCGGGAAAGGGCGGGGAATGAAAGGTGTGTCTTTATAAGACAGAAAAGAATTCGTAAGTAAACAAAAGTAAAGGGTATTCAATAGAGCTATGTGTATGGCGTGCTGCCCTGAATAGACAAGCAGCCCAGTTTGAATTGAGCGCGCTTGACAACCTACGTGGCCTCGTCGTTTCTAATAACCCGCGCTCGCTAGAGCGTGCGACCTGGTTTGATGAATACAGTTTGTGTGTTAAAAGTACATCATACCACAATAGAGACGGTTTGTGTCAACATGATATACGCCGGGTAATTTAGGAATAAAAAATGTACGTCTAGCTGGATCAAATTCATCTTATACGGTCTACAAGTTGTACACCATGAACGTTAGATTACATATATAGACAAAATAGATAAGACTTCACAATCAGCAAGCTAGCAGTGTAGTTTACATTTAGCGCGCAACAACGAGGTAGTCATGTCACCCTGCATTGACTATAACGCTGAAGGCAGCCGGATTTCGAATCACCTGTGCTGCGTACTATTGTGAACCATTTGTAAAGAATTATTCAGCCCTATGTCCCGACTTGCTGTTTCAATGCTAGCTTTTCCATTTAACGCGATGACAAATAAACCGTACGGTTTGAGTCTTAACCGTGTAACATGATGTGCACAGTTTTACTTCAGAACGTGCTATTTTGAAAATAGATAGAAAACTTATAAGTACATGTACCAGTGTGACGGCATGAAGCTAGGTTTGTTGGGAAAGTGATGGAAGCAATCTATAGGACATTTTCATGTTTACAATACTCACCCTTAATTCGAAGAGAGAACAGAGTTTATCATGGAAAATTGTTTGACGAGGTAAATGTTTTATTGGAAATATATGTCGAAGTAGGTTTATTCATAGCTAATGTATAGCAGAGAGACTAAGCGACCGACCGCCCATAACAATGTCAACATACCCCGGCCTTTCAATTAATGTCAACATACCAGCCTCGCCTGAAGCTTCCCATTCATAAATTGTGTGACCAGTGTCCCGTATTTATGATATATTAGGGAAGATGTGTTGTACATTTGTTATTTTAAAAGGGAGTTATTTCAGAGAGGATATATATGGGTATTCCCCCTCATTAAACCTTTCTTTCGTTGGTGTCTATTAAACGTATCCGGTATTTAATACATTTGAATGATGTAGGAAAGTATGTGCGTGTAGATGTTGTACCTATATCCGAACACGAATGTGCGACACCTTTCAATAGATGAATTACGGTTCTAACCACGACACGCAACATGACTATGAGCGTGGTTAGCAGTTCATATTTATAAACACATCGTAAATGACAGATTTCTGATGGATGAACTCGCCCGCACACATGTTATGTTCGCCCGAACTGTAAACAGTAACACATTGATAACAGGAAGGGTGTGTGGAATGCACTCGTCCTTGTAAGGGTAAAATACGCGTTTAAACTCACCATTTAAACGATGACATTACATTTTTAGATGTATTGGTATCAGTGAGTGAGTGAATTTAGTTTTACGCCACACTCGGCATTATTCCAGCTCTAGGACGGTGGTCTGTCAATAAACGAGCTTGGACCAGACAATCCAGTGATCAACAGCATGAGCAGCGATCTGTGCAACTAGGAACCGATGGCATGCGTCATCCGAGACTGACCAATGGATCCCCGTCAGTCGCCGATAAGCATGGGTTACTGAAGGTCGATTCTATAACCCGGGACCTTCACGGCTGTAGTATGACGAAAACTATATACTAATATGCAAAAACTGAGAAAAAAACACAAACATTTCATTCGTATCATTTATTGATTCGAGTCAATCAGTTCCATACAAAGCCGTGATATACGAATGGACAATTGTATTCACTCTGGAACATTATTTAGTCACTCATATACACATGCTGCTGCTGCTCGAAGGCCCTATTGTTTAAACAGCCAGTCCATGTTTTGAAACACATTTCGCACTGTTGAATGTTTTAAGGTTGAATGGTTGTCTATAGTCCAGGAGGTCCAAGTTTCACAATTCCTCTCACGTAGAGGGAAATTCGGCGTTTCTTATAGTTCAAACGCCTCAGTTTAGGAGGTGTTTTCAAAATATGAATCAAACTAGACGCGTGGCGTTGACTCGGCAATCTCTTCAGACTGTTAGACTGATACAGTAGTGATAGGTATTTATGCCTAATCGTTCTGCTCACGATCATCATCCTCCTCCTCGTCATCACCGTCGTTATCCTCTGCAACGCTATCAGATTCAGTCTCACTTTCTATTTCCGGCATATCCATCAAAGGCAGGATCTCTTTCATCTTGGGTTTTAGGAGGAGTTTGATTTTATTTTTGAGAACGGATTGTTCCGTGGAAGGATTCATGTCTCCCAGGTTGTATAGCATGTTTTGAAACAGAGGTGCCTCTTTAAAGTACGTGGTATATTCCATCGCATAGTTGAGAGTACTACGCACTAGATCCTCCCACCTCAGTTTCAATCTTCTCTCAATCCATTCTTGCGTTCGTCCCTGTCGCTTGTACTGTTTTTTCTGCAGTTTCATCTTGACATGAAACGTATCGTACACCTGCTTCCAGATGCGTTGTAAGCCTACATTTTGCCACTCCTCGGCTTCCATATTAATGAATGTTGACTTCCCACGTGGAGGTTTGACGGCAAGACCACTGCCTTTCTGGGAAGAGGCTAGGTCGTCAAAGTCACTGTCATCGTCATCACTCTCGAGTCTGGCACGCTTTCTCTTAGGTTGAAGGCTATTGGCCGGACACCAGTGTTTGATATGTCGCTGTAGATCGTGCATGTTATCTATCAGCACCCCGCAATCTGCGCAAGCCGTGGCCATAGTCAATGATGTCTCACTACTCGTGTCTGAATCGGTTTCAATTGGAGCGAGCTGATGTTGGGGCAATCTCTCTTCTTGTGTCAGAGGACTATCCAGAGATTCTGTTGTAGTCAACTTCTCCCTACGCAGATCAGGTTCAGACTGTGCTGTTGTTCTCCTGTTTTCCTCATTTATGAGGTTAACATGCAGTCGATCCTTATCTTTGGTGGTAGGTTTTAGATCGATGGTGAGTTGTCCATAGGGTGTTTCAGCAAACTTTTCATACATAGCCATAAAGTGATCCATATGTTCGGGGAAAATTCTACGAGCGAAGAGTTTGATTTGCTGTTTATCTATGGGGGAATGAAACAGGGTGACATAATGCGCGTCCAAAGCAATGTCTCTCGATTCCTTACCTCTCGGAAACAGATTTTGTATCAAGAGAAAGATCAATACAT